CAATGTTACAAGATGCTACTGCAGTCTCCTGTTCTATGCTGGGATCGGGTATTGGCTGGACGTTTGTCACTTCCACAGTAGCATTGATGGAACAGTGTTCAAGTGCTATCAGTTGTGTCTATGTAAAGGTCAGTGATAGAACCAGCTCTTCTTACAGTAGTCTGTGTTAAGCTGTCACACCATGCAGGAATGGTTATGGAGGGCTAATCCTCAGCTGTGTTGAGATGGCTGGAATAAAGAACAGGGATCTGGTGGCCACTTCACTTAGCAGACAACCATAGTGGCATGCATCTTGGCTCCTGCTTGGTCTTGGCTTTTAGCCTGGAGGAAGGCTGCTGTCCTGTGTTAGCTGCTTGAAACAGCTTCAGAAGTGCAACCTCTGCCCTCCCAACTGTTAAAAATGTTTCTAGATCATATCAAGTTAAAGACTTGGAAAAATTAACCCTCTCTCCTTATAAAGGTGTTTGTGAGATTTGCCTGTGCATATAAATCTCACTAAAATGATTTCAGACCCAATTCTAACTTAGGGGGTGGGTGAGTACTACCTAATGACTTTGGTACTTGGGAGACTTGGGGATATGTTAGTCATCTCCTGTGAACTAGATCACAGTACAGTTGAGTTCAAAAAAGTTCAGGTACTAAATTTCTTGTGTTCAGAAGTTCCTGTAAGCAGTCTTACACATAGGGATATATTCTGGAATGCTTTTGAATGAAACTAGGGAAATCGTTTGAAAGTAGCTATTTCTGTTTGTCACTTTATTATAGCACTTGGTGGAAATGCTGTAAAATGCTAATGGAGAGCTGGACTGGATAATGAGTGCAGTGATAGGTATGCGAAGAAGATGAAAATGCAAACAATGTATTTTGTAGTGAATGTGGTTTTTTTGAAACAGTCAACTCAATGAACCCATGTGCACATTGATAATGCATCTGTCCAATTTCTTTATTTTTGAGGAAAATATGTCTGTGTGGAGTGCCAAAGATGACTTGAACCTATGAATTAAACTTTGTTTTCTGCTTAAAGAAATAATTCTGTATTTGTATTGAAATGTGTTAGCATGCAAACTAGAAATTTGAGTTTATTTTGGCTTTTTGTTTGCGTTACTGAAGCACTAAAAGTTGAATGTAGTCTTCATCAGAGTTGTATCCTTGGTCCCTGTTCTGGCAGAAAGTGAAAATAAGGAGTTTTGTTTGTATTTAAAGGAAGTTGTCCTGAATCTGTAATTGTTAGGATGGCTTCTAGTGAGTCTTCTCTGGTAGACTTCACCTCAGTAGTAAATCAGGTCTGTTATAAAGGATTTTCTTGTACACTGTTTTCCTGGGGAGCATTAAAGGAGCTTGACGAATTTTTACCTTCTTGTGAGGAGGAAGGTTTCGAATTTGTGTAAATAATTGCTACTGACTGAAATTTGTTTGCATCTATCAATGTGCAAATCATTCTTGTTGCAGGACAAGGATGCAACTAAGTTTTCCGTGTGATTTTTATGTTTTTGCTCAGATGTTTCAGGGTTGATGGACTGATACTTGGCAGCCAAATGCTAGCATACTACTGGGTGCGGTCAGCCGTAATTACGTACAAACCTGACTGGATAAACTTCTAAGTCTTCTATAATACCAGTGTTTTTGAGAAAATGTTTGGGATCCTATGTGAGTAGTTTAGAGTGGTTGGCCTGCTTTAAGGAGGGGAGACTGTTTCATAACTTAATGACTATTTATACATGCAAAGTCCTACGCAATTGGTGGTAAACAGAACGTAAGTCTTTAGCATAGTGGCTTGCAGCAAGGATAGGTTTGCCTGTGCCAGTCAGCTGCAGGATTGTGGTTTGTTTGGTTGGTTTTGTGTGTAGTCTTTTTCATTGAAAAGATGTATGGTGTGAGTTATTTAATTGCCATGATCTTCTGCACATGGTCCTAAGGTGTGGTTCCTCCTTCCCTTTCCAGTGAAACTTGAAAATAAATCTGTGTAAGCCTTCAAGATTCAGTTCTAGTTACTCGAAAGCTGTTTTCTGTGCTATCTACAAGAGAGTTAAGGAAAGTGTTTTGGATGGAATAGACAAATTATCATAACAACAACAGGAGGAGCAAAACATATTTTTGGCTATAACTAGTGAAAAATGCCGGAGCTGATGTTATATCCGTCCGTGTTATCACTTCATTCAATCTAAGTCAGGATTTCCTGGCATTCATCTAGACCAAGGCAATGGATTTTGCTGTTCGTGCTGTAGCAACTTTTGGGTGATCAAGCATGGCTTCTTGTGTATGTGTTCTTTCCCATATTCTTGCCAGTTTGGTAAATCAGTACTTTCTCATAAATATTCAACTTAGGTTTTCTTCCTTCCTTCCCTGGTTATTGCAGACTAACTTTTCAGCTGCAATCTCTGTTTTAGAAGTATCAAAACACATCTTGTTCTTACAACAGTTTAACATAACCATTTACAGAGGTCTTGCCAATACTATGTTAGCTAGTCAAAAAAACTGGGCTGCTTCAGTTCTCAGCACTGTTAGAGAGCCACATGTGATATCTTTTCATAGAATAGGAATTTAGGAGGTAAATATTAATTTCGTTTTAAGTGAAGTGATACTGCTGAGTTTGTGCTTTTGGGTTAGATGAAACACTTTGAAGCAATTTCCCTTGGAAGAAGGCCATGGGGTCCTTGGATAGCACTTGCCTCTAGCCCTCCTTGAGTGTGTTCTTTTGTACAGTGGGAGTGCGTGTTCAGAACAATGATGAGAAATGGGGATTTGCAATCTTTCTGCACCCCTGGAGAGAGTACCCTAAACTTCTGTCTGTAAAGCTTGAGAAAGTGCCACATCCTCTGCAGTTCACAAAGCCCTCTTGTGAATGTAGCCTTTTCATAGTATAGAAGTGGAGGAAATTTCTAAAGAAATGGTTGCTGTTAACATGAGGGTGTTTTTGGCTACTTGAAGGTGTTTGTGTATGTTATAGCAGAAAAATACTTTCCATTTAGCTAGAAAAAAACTGGGGTGGGGGGAGAATGTTAAACACCAGACATTGTTTAGCTCTCTGTATCTATGTATTTACTTACATCCAATAAATAACATTTTTTCTTAATAATTTTTTTCATATTCTGAAATTAATCCTTTGAACAGATGTCTGAAACCTGTATACAGAATCTTCCTTAAATAAAAAGAATAAAATATAGAATATAGGGCTTTATAGAGGAGGGAGAAGGAACAGGAAAGAGCAGACAACCAAACCCATGCCTCAGGATACCAGCCTTAAGGTGTGGCGATGTCTGTCTTGGCCTGCTCACGTATGTAGGAGATACTAAGGTCTGAATTCTGTCAGTACTTTTATACAGCACTGCAATGAAGTAAGAGCTAGTATAGTGTTATAAATACCAGATTCTGCCTTGCATTGTTGCTCAAAATTCTCCTTCAGACAGATGTACAATGGGTAGTTCTTCCTTGTGTTCAAGAGAAGGTGGGGAAAGGCAGAGGCAGGATAAAGGATTTCTCTTAATCTCATTTTCTGGCAGAGGCAGTTCCCAGACGTGCCTTGGCAGTGTCTGTATTTAGTAGCTGTGTTCCTGGCCGCTGGCCCAGTCACATGGCGCCGCTGGAACAAGTGACACGGGAATGATGCATTAGCCGAGACCCAGGCTGCGTGCCGGAGGAGGTGGGGTGCCCTGGCCGGCCCGGCTGCCTGTGCCCGGCCACGCAGCAGAGGCGCCGGACCCACACTGCTTGCTCCCGGGTGGCCGCTGCTGTTTGGCTCCAGTGAAAGCTGGAAGCGGCTTATTGCAGATGCCTTGAAAAAATAAACAGGGAAAGGAGCAGAGTCAAATCCTAGAGAGTGTTAAATCACAAGCAAATTTTCATTTTTTTGAATTGATAAAGATCATCACTCTGAAACAGCTACTGCAAAATACTTGACTTGCTTCGGGTCAGCTGGCTCTCCCAACTGTTGGAAGCTATAGAGATGGCAGCAGAAAGTGGGATGGAAAGGGGAAAGTTGTTTAAAACTAAGCATGGCTTTCTGTATGGAGGAAAGAACTAGGTGGTAGACATAAGGTGCTAACCTTAATGCAGATTTTACCTGTCTTTGTTTAAAGACCTAGTTTAACAAAACCCATACTTTTCTTAATGGTCAAACACAATTAAATGCATGCTTTTTTTCATGCAATTACAAGCCTTTAGCTCTTTTCTTTCCTAATGAGGAATTCCACTTCTGGAGCTAGCAACTGAGAGTGCTGTCTCTGTGCTATTTGTGGTCCTCCTTCAAACAGTGTACTTGCTGGGTGTTTTCTTTGATTAAGGTTTTGTTTTATTGTGGGTTTTATTTTTTTATTTCTACATTAGATAGATTACATTAGATAGATACCCTGTGACAGCTAACTCCCAGACTTCAGATTTGTAGATAAGCCAGTGAGCAGTGATTCCTGATAACTTAGAGAAGTTGAGTTGACGCACTGGTTTAATGGGCTGCTCTTTATGTTTATGGAAAGCTGATGTGTGCACTTTATGGTGACTCCAACTTGCGTAGATCTGTTTGTTAACCTCTATTTAGCAGTGTGTGTGTCTTGTCATTTTTTGTGCATGTTTGTGATGATATTGCTTTATAGCAACAAAGATGAAGAAAAAATACTTCCAGCCTCACAAAAATCCAGTATCTTGTCCTTTCCTAAGCAGGGAATCTGTGGAATTCTAGCTTTTCAATTAACAAATATGTCCAATACTGTTTGGAGTTCATAGAGGAACATATAGAATTATTCTAAAAAAAGTGACGCTTCTGTACAGTGATTTGATACCTAGAACTTTTTTTCCATCTGAACATTTTCTTCAGGAAAATCTGTCTTGAGAGAGAGCAGTGCTCCAAATAATACCTTCGTTCACTTGTTGCGTGACTAATCTGCAATGTATCCCGCCTAACTTGTGTGAAACTAGTAACTATGTATCATGCTTGAACAAGGTAGTTCATCTCAGGTTAATAGAGCTTTGCCATATTAGGACTACTTTAAGTCATTGTGGAAAAGGAATGTGGTGTGGCATCCACACAACTCTTCCATATCTGAGGTTTTAGAAAGAGAAGAAACAATGTAGGGTAAATGAGGCAAATTAGGAGGGAGGATGGGAACCTATCTTCCCCATAAACTATTCAATGGACTAAAAGAGGGAAAATTATCATTAAGCAATCCAGAAAAGATTCCACTTCATCTTTAAATATGTGTTTTGGCACTAATCCTGAGTGTTTGGGTCTAGGTATTTTTTGTGTATCAATTTTGCGATGTGTGTGTTTTGCAAAAAGAAATGCTCACTGAAACATCAGGTGTGGTTCAAACTTTTTTGCTAAGCTTCTCTAGCCACTTCTAAAAGCTTGCATGGGTCTCTGAAAATATTCTCTTAGATTTGAAAACAGTGCTTAAGTTTTAGTGGACAGCTGTAACTTATATAGAAAATTATTCTTAAACTACATCACATACATTTATTTCCTCTTTCCCCTACCCCAAATTTTCTTGCTAAAGTATTACCTTGAGTTGAAATAATTTAGGCAATTGTCTTGCAGTGAAAATGAAGGACAGGAAATGACCTACAAACAGAGCAGGTGGCATGCTGTCACATAGCCTAGAAAAAGAGTGATTAAATTCAGCTTCACAGAGGATTATATCTGCAGAGCAGGACACTTTATTCCATTTTCTGTGTTATCTACTTTATGGACTGTGTGTTTTCCATGTGTAGATTTATATATTATTTTGTTGTTTAGAAACTGTTCTGTGGATTTGGAATGTTAATTCTTCAGATACTATAGGATTTATGTTATTCTACAGATGATTGCATTTACAGATGAGGTAGTGTTGTGAAGCCATCTATTTAGTGAGCTTACAGGAGTTTCTTGTTCTAATCCCTGATGGGAATTTGATTGTTTGATGAATGTTCCAGAATTTTGGTTTGTTTGGGGAAAGGGTAGTGCAGAAGTGAAAGCTATGATTTCCTGATCTTAGTCAACATGTATTATTTCACTTCTTTCATCTGTGCTTCAAAGATGACTGGTAACACTGGTGTTTAAAGTAGTCTTCCTCAATGAGGGGAAGACTAGAGTTGTCTTCTCCTAGACAATTTAAGTCACTTGAGAACAGGCCAAAGATTTCACTTGTTTGCCATTCTTGGAAGGAGGAGTGATTGTGATCCAGTACTTGTCACTTCTCTGGGGATCGAAGTGGAGCGGTTTTTTTATTGCTATAGGTTTCCCTCAGCAACAGAGCAAGTTGTTCAACCTAGCATTGCTCTAGTTTTTTGCTTCACTTCTGTCCAGTTTTTAGAGGTTGGGGTTAACTGTGATTACAAAATCATTTTAAGGGTGCTGTGCTATTTAGCAGGTAGCACGTAGCACTGGGTTTTGAAATCTTGCTTCTAACTCTACTGCTTGTCTGGTTGACCATTAACAAAGTTATTTTCCCTTTTTAACCTGGAAGAGAAATTGCAGTAGGGCTGTTATCTTATAAAATGTCTAAAATTTTACTGGTGAGGAGAAAGCCCATTGTAATTCATGATAGATGTGAATTATGAGCAGATATGTCTGGATAACTTATTTTAAAGCAAAGATGGGGTAAAGAGGACTTTATTCTGCAGTAGAATTACCAGAGCCTAACAGAACATCCTGTGTGTAGTTTTGGACACTGCAATACAAGAAAGATATTTAAGCTATCAGAGAGTGCCCAAAGGAGGGCAAAAAAGATGATGGAAGGCCTTGTGGAAAAGCTGTATGAGAAATGGCTGAGGTCACTCACTTTGTTGAGCTTGAAGAACATGAGACTGAGAGGAGACCTCATTGCAGTTGCAACTTCATCATGAGGGGAAGAGGAGGGGCAGACACTGATCTCTTCTGTGGTGACCAGTGACAGTACCCAAGGGAATGGCCTGAAGTTGTGCTGAGGAGGTTTAGGTTGCATATTTGAAAAAAGTTACTCACTTAGAGGGTGTTTGGGCACTCAAATAGGCTCCCCAGGGAAGTGGTCACAGCACCAATCCCTGACAGAGTTCAAGAAGTGTTTGGACAGCACTTTGGGGCATTAAGTATGACTCTTGGGGATGCTGCTGTGCAGGCCCAGGAGTTGGACTCAATTATGTTCTCTCTTCTGTGATCCGATTCCTTTGTTCTGTTCAAAAACTGAAATTTACTTGGGAGTACTTTATTAGATATTTTTGTCATCAATGCTGTCATTGAATTATTTTAAGAGGCACATGACTGTAAATTCTCATCAAGCAACTTGAAGTCTGAACAAACCTTTTCTCATTGTTTTCCTTCATACTTTTGAAATAGCTTTTCAAAGTACTAGTGTCAAGTTCTTGTCCAAGTATAAGTAGTATTTGTCCTTAGAAATAAAGTCAGTACAGCACAGAATATCTAGCATGTTTCTTGGTGTTGGTAGTTGGGTTTTTTAAACTGATAACCATATGGCAATGATGACAGATTCTTACTTGCTCCTAAGCTATACGAGGTTGCTAGGGGTTGTCAGATGACACTTGCTCACATGAGAGCCATTAACAGGGTGTTGTAGCCAGTGTTAGAACAACCTTGCAACTAAGGGCGAGTCACTGCAAAAGCAACTATGCTTTTTTTTTTTTTTTTTAAAGAGGCCATATGGTTCAGTCTTGTGACTACATAATTGCCAGCTACCTAAATCACATACCAGGAAACAAACATAGCTAAAGTCAATATTAGCTGTTGTATCTGCTGCAGCTTTGCGCCAGGCTTAGAAGGAAAACCTCTGACAGCAGCAAGAACAAGTCCACGATGGCTTCTGAAACCTGAAAGTCATGTCTGTTCTTTCTGGAATAATTGCAGGACTACATTAGCTACAGCTGTCCTTTTGTATTAATGGCTTATAGAATATATGAAGATTCCTTTGCCTTTTTTCTCCCCCAACTGGAAATTCAGCAGACTGTCTTCCTTTATTGGGAAGAAAGGTGATGGTAAATTACCATTGTTAATGGTTGAGCGATAGTGAAGAAACTTGCTTGAGGTTTTTTCTCTTCAGCAGGTGTTTTAGTTTCTTTGAGGGAGCTTTACAAGAGGACTTGTAGCTAAGAAAATGTGTGGGGGTACACCAAAAACTGCAAATGGCACTGGGGGACAAATAGAAAGAACAAGAAACAACAATGATCTCTCTTGTACCAAATTGGATGAAAGAATTAGAAAGTCTTTGAGAGACGAAAGTGTCAGCTGTGCCAACAAAGTGACTAGACTGCTGCAAAACAGGTATGCATGTAACTTTTTTGATGTATATGATTTTTGACAAAGAAAGGACATTTTTATGTGACACTAGATTTATAATAATGTGCCTGAAAGGCTATTTTGTAAATAACTGAGAAAGTTCTGCTAAAGGCTTATTTTTGATGATGATGCTGACTGAAACTCCAGAAAGTCTTTCCTGTTTGAAACTGAACCATCATTCTTGACTCTGATGTCTAAGATTTATGTGTATGCAAACTGAGGCATAAAGGGTAATTGCTTTTCTTTTCAATTAAGTTTACATAATCTTACCTTCTCTTTCTAGTTTCCTAATTAGTTTCCCCTCTTTTACTTTTTTTGCCACCTCCTGTGTTAGTGGGTCAAGTACTAACAGTGTGCTGAGCTGAGGGGAAAGAATGCTGTGAAGTGGGGGAACCCTCTGTGAAGAGAGGGAAACCCTCTGTTTTTCTTGTAAATTGCTGCTAATTCAAGCATTACATCAGAGTAATCTGAAGTGGGAATAGTATTTACTTAACTTTTGTATTGTCCTTCTCAGATATGTACCAGTATGTCTCCAGTGTCTGACTCTTTATAGCTATGTAGCTGTGTTGAAAATACGGTTCAGGGTGGCTTTTTCCAAATTCTAGCACCCAAGGGTTTTAGAATTAGTATTCTACATTCAGGATTGCTGGCCCCAGAAGCAGAAAAACATAGATAAATATACTGATAGATGTTTCAGTCTGTTTGGTTCTCTAGCCTGTAAATGTTACGTTGAAGGAGTGAGGGGTTAGTCACTTTCAAAAACAGTTTAAGGTCAGCTGAAGTAGTTTTTGAATATAAATGAATAGGTCACTCTTCAGTTATTGCATGCATGCTGATAATTATAAAGGTGAAGCAAAAGCTTTCTTTGTAAACATGAGAGTTTGGAGATCTGTATTATCTGAAAGTATTTATTCACGGCAGAATGAAGCAAACTTTTTGTGATTTTTTTTTTTTCCCCTGGAACAAACAGGTTTGCTTTCCCCTAAGTAAAAGAGATCTTGCCTCCATGGCTCATAACTGTAATTGAAGAAATGTTGAAAAAGCCAAAGGAAAGTAGCATGTGTAGGAGAAAATGAAGCAAGCTCAAGCTTCTCTGGGGACAAAACTTTTCAGGATATCAGTAAGCTGTTCCAAACTTGTGGCTTCCTTTCAAAAAATAAAAAAATATCCCTAGCATTTTAGTATCTGTAGTAGACCTGGTTCTACTGTCATATGAACACAGCTTAATTTGGTTTATTAATTTTGACTTGAGGATAGTGTTTGTTAGTTCTAGCATCTTCCATGTACAGTAAAGATATGATCTGAAGGTGAGGATAGGTAAGCTGACCTGCTCAAACAGACTGATGGTGTTGAAGGAACAACTTCTTCGTTTGTTTTTTGGCATCATCCTCTTGTCCTTTTTTCCCCTTGTTCTGGCCTTGGCCTTTTAAGTTCTTTTGGAACTGTCTCCCCTTAGGGAGTCAGCTCACTAAGCAGACAGAGCACTGACTTGGGAATAAGAAAACTCAATTAATATCCCAACTAGCCTCAATACTTTCTTGGAATGGATCAGGAACATTTTCTTTGTGCCCTTTCCTAAAGGTATATAGTTTCATGGACAAAGTCAGTTAGTGTAAGTTAGCTGCCACCGAGAGGTGCAGGTTACACTGTCTTCTGCTTCTTCCTTTCTCCAGTCATGTTTCTGATCACTTTCATGTGCTTGGGTAGACTTCTGTTGCTGCAGAGAATTTGGTTTACTATGGGAGAGTCCAACAGTTACCAGAGCAGACACAAGTAACAGAAAGGGTCGAACAGTTACGAAATGCAGTGAAAAGGTTTGTGAGGCTCTTACTTCTGTGGTCAAATAATAAAGCGTGTTTAGTCAGAACAGCCACATTTAACCTGAAATGCGAACATATACACAAGATCGTACTAATTTAGTTAATTCCACTGATTTTTAAGAATATGTAGGACCTGGCATTGCTAAATAAGCCATAAGCTAAGGAAGTAACATTTTGGGGTTTTGGTTTTTATGCATGTGAAAACAGAGCTGACCAATGAGTCTGTGTACTGTCTGTATTCTTCAACACTCTGCTTTTAGGAGATGATTGAACACTCCTGCTGTCCATGTATTAGGGGAACTCTTAAACAATAAAGGGTGGAAGTACTGTAAGCAGTGCTCATCAGCTTTTGTGATGGGCATAAGCATCCTGGTCATCTGATTAGTCTTGGGCCTGCTTCTGGATTCCATGTGGAAGTAATGAGACTACATGGACTTGTATGCCTATATAAATTGTCTATAGATATGCTTGATGTTATCAAATGAGATCTCTTCTGTAATGGGTAGGTCTGCTGCAGGAAATGCATTTGTAAGCAATGGCATCATTAAAACATAACTTTGATATTTGGTTAGAACTATAAGAAGCGTTATATGAAATTATTTCCCTATATTTAGTTTACTAGTGACATGAAGCTCTGTATGATAGATTTTGTGAATTGCTTAGCTTGTTGATTCTGGTACTAGAGAATCTGTTTGTAGTTCTGGCTGATTGCAGCAATCTTTGGTTCTAGCATGTTGTGTGGAAAAGGCTGTTCAGTTGGCTTCTACTTTAACATAAAATCCAGTTCATGTCTTATACAGAAGTCAGCACTGTGAACAGCATGAGGTTTGCTTTAGTGCATAATAAGGGAATTTATTTGTTCATAAGGAAACCTGAATTCATGCAACCCTGCATCAGTGAACAGATGCATGGCTAAATTTGCTCTATCTGTGTCTGAGATAAATCTTAGTTTAGACTTGCAAGCCTGTGGTCTGAAGTATGGATGCTACTGTGCCAGTCATGGACATAAATAAGGCTTTGCTCTTGCATAGAATTTAGGCTAAAGCCATAGAGATGTAACTTTTCTTTGTTGTTAAAGGAAGGAAAGACCTGCAGCCTTTCTGAGAAAATAGCATGGTTACTTCAGGTTGTCTGTTGCAGCAAGTAAGTAAATAGATAGCTGTGTAACTGAAGACATGTTGGGATATCTGGTACTGAAGAGTATCAGATTCATGTGGCAGACAAGGATGAAGTGTCTTGATGGCTCTGACTTCTTTTGCATTCAGTATAACTGGATTTTGTAATAGCATTGCACAGGCAGTGGGCTGAGAAACTAGTAACAGACTTCTTACACAGATGGTGTAGTTGCAGCTCTCTGTGTAAACAAGGTGTGTAGGATCTCTGCTGGGCAACTATCAACAATGGTATCAGGTCTGGTCTCATGCAGGTTAACATAATGCTGTGACTGCCTTTGAAAGGGAAGGCTTGAAAAGAAATCTGCCTGGCACTCTCAGTAGTTCTGGAGGCAACATGTTACATAGACATCAAGAAGTTTCCTCACTGTGGATGGCAAAACAGCCTTTAGCATTGTTCCATGATGGGAAACCTTGTATATTACGTACATACAGCATACTTGTATTGGAGCACCTTATAGTAGAGATGGGTATCTGGCTTATTCTGTCCCAAGATGTTTAAAAATAGACCTCCAGATTGAGGTCTTTCAGGTTTGGAAAAGATGCCTATTTAGGCTTTTTTTTAGCTACATAGAGCACAAAGAATAAATTAAGCTGGCTTTACTTAAAATTATTTTAAAATCACAAATCTGCAAGTGTACTTATAAAGCAATTATACTGACTCTAGCAGGATTTGATAGTGTTTATCTCACTGTGAAGGATGTTGACAGAGCATGGAATAAAATAAATAGCTTCATAAATTCTAGTCTTTCAACTGTATAGTGATTTTATGTTCTTCTCTCCATTATCTACCTTCTATTTCTATAAAGCACAGTTTGGGGAAATTCCTAAATGAAACCTCCTTTTGGGTGGAAGATCAGTGTGGCCTTGACTGAAGTCTGTTATGCAGTTTGTTAAACCAACAACTATTAATAACAGTTGTACTCTTACCCCCCAGGTGCAGTCCATCCAGGTCAGGGCTGGGGCAGTGTGACTGAGCATCAGTGCTCTGTGTCACTGCTTTATGCCGTAGTAGTTTTTTTCCACTGATTTCAGCTTGTCAGCTACATAACCTGAAAAGTGTTTTCTGAAGTTGAGGCCAAGCAAATCTCCATGCTCTGATGTGCAGACTGACACATTTTGGAATTAGAAAATTAGGTTTCTTCTCATTACCACAATGATGAGTTTGGCTCCTCAGCCCCTGTGGTAGTGCAGTGACGCTGATCATGTGCCATGTTTTATTTCTGGAGAATGGGCAGATTCTGGCTTGAGAGAATTGTTTTGCTTCAGGTTGAAGTTCAAGTATCTTGGTTTCATGTAGTAAATGATTTTCATTGTAGCTGGACATCAAGTCTCAGTAATCAATGGCTGCTCTGTAACCCCTGAAATATCTCAGAAAAGGGGGAAGAAGAATGGAACAACATAAACTTTATCAGTTGCAAGACTTAAAATTTTCTTTGGGAAAATCTTAACTTACATTGTCAGGAATAGGTCAAAAGGAATTAGGTTTGTGTTGTTTAGAAAAGGAAGAGAGAGGGTGTAAGCCTTGTGCTTTTGAAAGGCTGAAGTAGAGAGGATGGTAACCCTTACTGCTACTGGGAATATTGCATAGAATAGTACACTTACATTATAATAAGGATGATCCAGGCTGTGTACAGAGAAGAGAGTAATAGTAGTAAGGCCTGGAACAGATTGCTGAGACTAAGTTTTGTGTTCTCTTTCTGGAAAATTTTGGAAGAAGATTGGATGAAAATTGGTCTGTCTGTGCCTGCCTTTGTCAGTGACACTTAGCTTAGACACTTCTTTGGAGTTCCTTTTCCCTTGAAGCTATGTGATTTGCAGACTAGATTCTGTAAATGTTAAGTAAGACATGTATTTGCCTAATACCTGTTTCTTCACATAACTGAACCAGCAAAGTAAAGACACTATTTTAATATGTCATGTTTCTAATCTGTAGCTGGTCCTCTTCAGAGTTCGACTTGAATGAAATCCGCCTGATAGTTTACCAAGACTGTGAGAGGAGAGGCAGACAGGTCTTATTTGATTCCAAAGCAGTCCGCAAAATTGATGAAGCTGTGGTTCAGGTATGAAATTTTAACTTTGCTGTTGTCCTACTGCTCTTTTGTTTTCCTTTCCAAAAGCAGTTCTTTTAATAGGACAGTGTAATCTTCTTAATTATGTGATCTTTCACTGTGATAGCTGCAACAAACATCATTACAGCAAGCCTATGAACATATCTGGTATTTGATATTTATAATATAAATATGGTATTCAAACATAATAATCCAGATTTGCTTTCAGGCAGCAAAATCTATTTGCCTATAAAATGATTATTCCTTTAGCCTTTCTAATGTTGACCGGGTTTGCTTTTTGTTGTTAGCCCTGGCTGAGCAGTCCGTTTCAGTGATGTCCACCATGTGTCTAAAAGTGCTTTTTTCCTTTGGTGTTTGGAGTAATAAAGTTGTCTTTGTGTGAATTAAAACAACTTCACTGGCTAACCATGTTGTATTGTGTAAGCATGACACATGGTGGTATATATGGCCATGTAAGTTTTGGTGACACATAGAAGCAAGAGCAGATGCTGTCAAGATGCAAGATTGTGGAGTAAAGCTTTCCGCAAACATAGGTAATTTTAAGATCAGTAAACCAACAGTGTTTCTGTTTTGTGGTGGTTTTGCTTGGGTTTTTTTCCTACTGCCTCTATGTTTTTCTTCTACATTAAGTTATTTCAAATTTTTGTTTGTTTTGAAGTTGTTTTTTTTTTAGAACCAGCAGCTTCAGCTTGTTAGACTAACATTGCAGAGCTATATATATATATCTGTATAAGCCATAGAAGAGCAGTCACAACTTGTAGAACTTAGTTATGAAGATGCTTAGAAAGCAACGATCTCTATTTCAGTCACACTGTAAATATGCCACTGTGCTGAATCAGTAAGACTGATGAGCATCATCAGCTGATGTCTGATCACCTACTTAAGAGTGTAAATGGGTCAGACTGGTTGTTAATCTTGCTTCCCCTCTTCTCCCACCCCCCCGCTCAAAATCAAGGTCATTACTTAGTATCGTAAAGTTGTTTGAAAACAAACAGTATCTTAGCAAAAAATGCATTTCTGCCTTCATTTAAATACTCAAATTATTCTACTTGCTTGAATACCTTAGCTAAAAGTTAACTACAGAATGTCCTATCAGAAACTCTCTATGCGATGCTGACATAAAACAGATTATAAACTCCCTCATAACACATGATACAGGCTATAATCTGTTTTCTAGCCAGACACTCACTAATCTAGGTCCCCTTTTAAAACAGCCAAAGTACTTTGAATGCCATGCAAATACCTAAATGTTGAAAATTATTTTGAGTATTTGGTTGTTATCAAACACCAAAACTAAAACTTGATTCATTTAAAATTAAGAAAAAATTGCTTTCATACTCAGTCTTGTTTAAACTGAAATCAAGGAAGCATATGTGTGTATACTGTGTGGTGTTTTTTCAAATACAGTAAGGCTTATTCACACTGAGTGTTCAGATACATTGTTTGTCTTTAATCTGCTAATTCTGCCAAATGATGGATTATTCATCCCTTGTTTTTGCTGGCTGTTCTTCTGTTTTAATAATTCGGGGAGCAAAAGTTATATGCAATTTGAATGATCAATTATGCAAATGATTACAGAAATTGGTTTGTAAGAAAACTATAAGCTGAGATATTGTTTACATAAATTTTGGCAAATATTACAAAGAGTAATTTATAACAATTGGGAATGATCTTCCTGTGAAACTGATTACTCCAATTATATGTGATACTATGAAAACCTATCTGATAGTATGAATGTGAGAGCTGTTCTCCACTTGCTCTGATGCTGACATTTAAAAAATATTTTAAAACTGATACATATTTTTTGAACCACATAAGAGTATCCTTTATTTCTGTTGCTTTTCTGTAGTTTTAAGAAGATTCTTGCCACTATGTGTTTAGAGATGTGAGTTCTCAGATTTACTTTTTATCACATTGTTCTGTTTTGACATAGAAAATTGCAGATGAGGCTTCTGTAAAGACTTCTGCCAAGAACTGCCAAGGAAGCAATGGGAACAACAGTGTTTCTTCCCATAGTCCCTCTATAAGCTGTATGCAAAATATCAAAGAACAGATACCGAAGTATCAGGTAATATTTGTTACTTTGCTGCTTTTGTTTTTTTCATTCTACTGAAGAAGTTAGTTTATTCAATCCTTCACTTAGATGCATTGAATGGCTTTGACTTCTATTACATTGCAGCTTAATCTGAACCTTGAGATATCTACTCTATCCTTAAAGTATTGTTAAATAAAAATGTGTGGGTACATCTTAACCTTTTAGTCTATCTTGGTCTTACCTTTCAAGGAGTTGTGAAATATATTTAATAGCATTTTGTCATAAGAAGGTTGTAAGAAGCACTACACTGTTCTCTGTTCATGTCTGCTTATGTTTCAGGTCAGTTCTGAGGAGGCTGTTGAATATCGTTTATTAAGAGTCCCTTTAGTCTGTCTTAACTATAACATTAAATTTTAGGTACTTTGTCTCTTTCTTAGTAAAAGCGTTAGCCTTTCACCTAGAAAAATGAAGTCTGAAGGATGTATACGTTAAGGTGGGAAAAGAAAATAATTATATTTAACTGGAAGGTGATTTTCTTCAGAATTACCAAACTTCTCTTTGTATTTGCTATTGATGCTCAGTCTTTGAAACAAAATAAGCAACTGATCTGAAGACTGCATTTCAAAGTATACTCATAAATCATTTTCCAATAAGAAACGTTTCTAAGAAGCTTTCTACAAGGGCAGGGAAGGTGAATTTACTCTTTACTCATTTAAATAAGTAAGGCAATTTATTTTTTGGGGATCCAGACCACAGAATCCAAGTCCTGTAAACATTTACAGCTTTTATCAAACTCTGTTATATGGGAATGTTGCTAGACACAGCTATTTCTTTGGAAATGCAGATCTCTTTTTCTCTCTTGCCTTTGGAGGTCTCCCTGGAGCAAGGGTAGCATTGCTCATCTAGTGAGCAAAATGCAGGATTTCTTCCTGCAGTACTTGCTAAATACACGGTGTTAAACCCACACTGAGTGCACACTGATCTTGCTCTGCATGAAAAAGTTGAAGTTGTTTGTGTTCTCCACTCCAAATGCATTGTTGTGATGCTATGGTAAGTTGAAATAGTATGCCAAGTTATTTTTGACTTTGCTGTTCCCATCTTCTTGTCCGTGTAGTATACCAGACCAGCCTCCGATGTCAATATGCTGGGAGAAATGATGTTTGGCTCAGTGGCAATGAGCTACAAAGGCTCCACCTTGAAAATTCACTACATACGGTGAGTGTCCTTTTCTGTGATGCAGTGTCTTGTCAGGCACTTGGAATTGATGACTCAGTGAAATAAATGACTGTTTATCCTTTCAGCTCTCCCCCACAGCTGATGATAAGTAAAGTCTTCTCAGCCAGGGTAGGAAGCTTCAGTGGAAGCAACAATAAGTAAGAACATATTTTTTTATGTATAATTTCTTTCCTTTCCCAGCCAGTGCAGTTGTCTGTCTCTCTTTTTGTAGTTCTGGCAGAAAATTGGGAAGGCAGCTGGGTAGAAGAATTCTCTTGATCGATCCTAGTTAGGCCAGCCAAGTTTTTAATTAAAAAAAAATTTCCAAGGTTTTACTTCTTAACTTGTCCAGGACATGTGATAAAGTTCAAAGGTTAGGTGCTTTGGACAATCAAAATCTCCATCTCTTACTGCTGTCAGAAGGGCGAGGAAGGGATATACTGAGAATGCTTTGTCCCCATATCCCACTTCTGTTTCCTTCAACAAATATGCTGCTGTGTTGTACCTCCTCCCCAGAATGGGCAAATATGAATAAACTGAATCCCAAATGTCATCTAAAGAAGCTTCCAATACTTCAACTATAAAAAATAAATGCCTGTTTCCTTGCAGTTTGAGAAACCTAGTTATCCTTCAATTTTGTTTTAATATTAATGTTCAGCCTTTTTATATAAAATGAACCTAATTCTTAAGCTAATATTAATGCCTATTCATCATATTCTTAAAGAATGCTGGCTTCTCCCCCTATTTTAGCTTGCAAGATAGCTTTGAATACATCAACCAAGATCCCGGTCTGGGGAAGCTGAGCTCCAATCAGAATGGTTTGGGAACTTGTCGCAGTGGAAGTAATTTAGGTAAATATTTCCAGGTTCTATGTCTTTCTGACAACACAAGGCCATCTGTTCATTCAGTTTTGGCTTTTTTTTTCCCTAGTACATCACCACCTTGGGTTTTTTACTTTTTTTTTTTCTCATTTTTTCCCATTTTCTCTACATTGCTTTTGTTTCCTAGGTGTGTTACAGCTGTGTAGCAGCAAATTGCTGCAGGGTGTGTCTGAAGGAGGTCCCCTCCGGCTCATCCGCAGTGCTTCTTTCTTTGCAGGTTTGTGTGGAATGCCAGCCACAGTGTGACCCATCCATATGCACACACAAATCCAGCTCCTTCTGAATCTTTGCAGATTTATGCATAATTAGTCTCTAGAAACAGAGGGCTAAAAAAGTAGTGACAACAGGTGTATCTGGCATATACTTAAAAATGTCTTCTGAAAAAATGACTAAATTATTCTTTTTAATTTTTAAGATATTTTTATGCAGTGCTTTTGAAGATTAATTAGCCCATATGTTTCTTAGAGAAGTTATGTTTCCTGGCTTATTGCTGGTTTATTGCTAACATGCAGGTGTCTTGCTGGTGTACAGCTTTTTCTTCTCTTATCTATTGCTGCTTTTTAATTTGATGGCAGACATTCAAAATTCTTGATGGCTTTTTCCTCAAGCAATATTAATTTCTTTAATTCTCAAAACCTTAGGTTGCATAAAGTCTCTTTTTACAGGCAGAATGATAATCCATGCAGGTGGGTAGATCTCTGGCCTAATTACTTCTGTTAATTGCAAAAATGTGAACTGTAATACCAATGCAATTTCTTTGCAACCTTTGCAAATCTTGCATGCTCTACAAATTGAGTAACTGCACTACTAACACTTCGATGTAATCTGACATAAGCTGAATGTTTCTTACTGTGAGGCTTTGTGGACAGTAAGTCTCAGCTCGGCCAGTGAAACAGAAGCTTTTAGTGGACTCTGTGCTAGACTGTTTCATTCTGATCTTAACCTGTGTCAAAGGACAATCTTGCACACTCAGAATTTATCAAGAGTGACAGATGAGGATACCACCAGCCCTCACTTTCAAAGTATATCTGATTTGTGATAATGCAGACGGTATTCGTGTTCTTAAGCTCCTCAGAGATGTCTTTATGTTTACGTTGGGGCAAATAACCTTCCTGTAGTAATGTGATACTCAGCATAGGTTATTGTTTGCTGCCACCTCTCTTCACATCATGCTGATTTTGAGCGACAGTACAGGATGTAATTTTTTTGGTGTATGACCTTTAAACTTAAACAAATTTTTAAAATACTGACAAATAGCATGATGAATTATGTAATATTTTCTATTGATCTGCTCTGTTTGTTTTAGCACACAGCACACCTGTTGATATGCCTAGCAGAGGACAAAATGAGGATAGAGACAGCGGCATTGCTCGGTCAGGTATCTGCTGTCTATCTTGTTTGCCTGCTTTTGTAATTGTTACAATTCTTTGCTGCAGTGATTCACCTGAAATACAGACACCTCATGACTATAAATCGGTAATTGTTTTTATCTGCTAGGTGGTTTGCCTTCTGCATTTGCCCCAAGCCTTCATACAAAAATATTTGTAATTATATTCTTTGTTTATAGCCACCATGTTCTGGGTTCTTAACGAGTTTATAGTTTGGAGACTTTGGCTGGAGTCTTTACTAGAGCAAATGAAGAGAAATGGCTTTTTACACTGAATAGGAAAATGAAGACCAGAAGTCTTGTCTGTTGTAATGGGAGGGCAACCACTCGTGGGAGAGAACACTTTTAATGAGACTAAGACACATTTTAGTGTGTTTAATAGAGATGATCTCCTACTTTATAGCAAATGAATGTCCTCAAGCAGCAAGATCTATTTAAAATGATTCTCTCCTGTTTCAAGTGATGTGTGAAAAAGGTCAGCAAGCAAAAGCAATATTTGTGCAATATTATTGGTAGAGTATGAAGAAAAGTATTTAATCAGCACTTTGTGATTCATTGTATGTGGTGTTTCTTGCTTTCTTCATAGCATCCCTGAGCAGTCTTCTGGTTACTCCTTTTCCATCTCCAAGCTCTTCATCATCATCTTCTAGCAGCTATCAACGTCGCTGGCTCCGGAGTCAGACAACCAGTTTAGAGAATGGAATTATTCCAAGGTGGTGAGTGTAGCACCTTTCTTCTTACAAAAACAGTTGGACAGTAATTTAAGCTAAACAGAGCTTAAGCCTCCTTTCTTTAAAAGTACAAACCCTGTTACTAAATGTTCTTGACTCAGTCTATCTTCTGTGTGTGTTACGTAAGATTGCCAATATAAAAAAAGATGAAATTTTGGCTGAATGGGAACTTCAAAGCCCGATTTGAAATATAATTATTTTTATTGAATACATAGGCTGTGTATTAATATAGTGTGACTGTATAGGCTGTATATGAAGCCATATTCTGAAAAATAAATTAAATTGTTTCTGAAGGAGCAGAGCATCCTGTTGAGATGAAAGGGACTGTAACAGCACTACTACCATAATGACGTTATACTATGATGAAGTCTGACTAGTGAGCAGTTAGTGAAATTTTGGAGTAATAGCCCATGATGACTCTCTTGGCTGGTACAGGATGTTCCTGATGTGACTTCTGCCAAAACAGGAAGAAAAAAAAAGCTGTGATCAAAAAGCTTGGCTTCTGTTTTGGAATTTTATTAGCTTTTGTAGCTCAGTGGCATAACAAAGCATGGAATGCACCAGACTTTTCATAGCTAATAAGCAAATTCTTCCCTTGTCATTTGCAAAATAGCAAATGGTTCTTGATTATCCTCTCTCTGTATTCATCTACCTATACCCAGAGACAGAATGGAAACCTACAAGAAATTAATGCTATTTGGCCTCACTCCCTTTTCAGTTAAGAGAAGCATAAAAGCTGCCTGTTAAAAAATATAGTCAGTAAAAAATAAAAATTAAACTTAATTTGAAAAGACTTATTTCCCTACTGTCAACCAACACTTGCAGCATATTTTCTAGTGAATCATTCTTAGCAAATAATTTTTAACATGAAGAATTGTGCCATGGTACTAATGTAGCAGTTGTGCTTTCTAAATCACACTTGCAGTTGAGAATAAACTGGTTGCTTTAAGTAAACTGAAGTACTTTTTAGTCTAGTTTCCTAAAGAGAGCAGCCCATTTAAAAAGGGTTAAAACATTTATGGTAAATAAGATAATTTCAGCTCAGTTTAAGAAGTAGCCAAAATTTGACAAATACAAATTTCTGTGAAGTGTTCTGAAAGTTACAAATTGTCTAGAGGAAAGTAGCCTCTTTGGGCTGCTTATTCGCTATCTGGAGCAGGGTTGTTTGTTTTTTCCCCCACTGGAGAACCTATACTGAGGAAAGATATTGTAAAGAGAACATCATTATTTTTACTGTCTAGAATTATTCTTGAAATGGGATTCTTTCTAAGCCAAAACATCTCTTCGGATGCTTGTTTTCGAGTTACTTGTAGAGAAACAGTAGTCTTCTGGTTGAATACTTCAGTGCCACACATTTTGCACCCCAGGTTGTTACAGCCAAGATTCTACAGTCACTGTGACTGATGTTTTAGACCAATAGCTCAAAGAAATTGAGATGTCTAGTTGGAACTCCACATAGTCGATTGGCAAGCAGGATAGATTAGCAGTTTTGTTCAAAAGGCTTCTCTCTCAGACCTAAATTCCTCAATTTCTGTTCCTGTGAAGCAGTATAAAATCTTGAGATGTTTCTTAGATGCTGACTGACTATCCTTTCCTGACTTCTTTGGGAATTTCTGTCTCTGTATGCAAGTTCCTGAAGTTCAGATGAGGTTATGTTTTTGTCTTGAACTCTGTTTTCTCACAAGCTGTTTTTTTGCTGGGGTTTAATTGTGTGCTTTATCCTGTGTTCATGGACTTGTACCTCTGTGATGAGAATTTTTTGTTTGTTTATTTAACTTTGTCAAACCAATTAAACTGTAAATCACTTATTTTTAGAATGGACTAAGAATGAATGCTTAGCCTGAGTATTTCCTTTTGTTAATTGCTTCATAATGTTCTATAAATACTACAGACTCCATTTCAAGATAATTCTGATATGAAAAGACTTCAAACTTTTAATTACCACTCACTGGTATTGCAGTCTTAACTTATAAGAAACTCTAAAACCAAGCTATTTCCAGATGAGCTGATGCTCAGAATATGTCTATGGCTTATTTGTCTTTTTACACTTTTCTCATATATTTTCTGAGTAGATTAAAACCCATTATCCAGTTGAAGTTCCTTCCCACAGACATTTTTTTCCATACTGTTTTACTTAATTGTGTATACACATTATGTATATGTGATGTTTTTTCAGTGAAATTGATCAAGACTCTTTTAAGCAAGAAAAAATAATAATTTTGTAAATCCAGCAGTATCAATATCTAGTACTGCAAGGCTAGTATTTATAGAACAACAGGGTGAAGGATTTGCCACCCTTTTGTATAACCATAGTAAAGCTTACATGCAAGTCTCAGCCCAGTATATCATCCCAATCAGTCGCCTGTGCAAAGGAGTAGCTTGGAATTTCCATTAGCTGTCTGTGGAACTTGACTCTTGAGTAGGTCTTGAAAAACTCCGAGGATCGAGATTCCACAGCCTTTCTGGACACTGCTGTTCTCTTGATTGACCATTTTCCCCCTATCTGACATTATCTGCAAATTCACTGAAGGTGTGTTTTGATCCAGAGGCCTGGCTGATAACCAAAACATTGAGCAGTATTGATCCTAGTAGCAACCCATGTGTAATATTGAGAAGAGACATAATTTTGAAAGAATTGTGGCGGCACTATCAAGGAAATAAAGAGAAATTGAAGAAATAATAATGGTTGTAAAATAGCCACTGGATGGGTGGGTTTTTTTCTTTCTGGTATTTTTTTATAGTTTTAAGAAGAAAACAAATCTTTGTGAACTGAAGTCTATACAATTTTGAGCTGGGCAAACATGTATTTGTAGGCATTAAGTTTGTGTTTTCACAGTAATTACTGGGTGGTGACATTTTGTCTTCAGTTAAAATAGAAAGTTTTATTTTGTATGGTTAATTGCAAACATCCATCTTAAGATGCTGGAACAATATGGATAGTGTAGATTATATGTTTCCCAACTTCCCTCATGAGTAACAGTCCAGCCAGATTCGAGAGCTTCATAGATATGCAGCTGAGCACCTAGAGAGGAGTTTGAGTGCTGGATGCAGTTCACAGCTCCAATGTTTCCTTTAAGCTTTTTTGGTTATGATTTTGTGTCATGTATCTCACTTCTCTTTTCTTCATCTCCCTCAAAGTTAAATCCAGGAGGAAATCTAGTAGTTCTGTTTCAGAGGAAAGCGTTCACACCAGGCCTCTCTGGGTATTGTCCTCCTTTTTGAACAAGCACAGGACTTAGCCATGAAAGTGTCAGGCATCCTCTGTTCAGAAACATGTGACAGCAAAGCCTTATTTAGTCAGTCAAAGGAGTCCTACAAATGAATTACCTTCCACTATATAGAGAGCTATGGATAGAAGCTGAATTGCCTCTCAGTACACAGGTAACTGTCTTAACAAATCTGTCTTACAGGTCCACTGAAGAAATGTTTAGTATGGCCGATGAAAGCTGCAGCTCCAATCCTGCAATTGTTCGGAGGAAAAAAATTGCAATCAGCATCATCTTTTCTCTGCCTGAAAAAGAAGAAGCACAGCGAAACTTCCAGGATTTCTTTTTCTCTCACTTTCCTCTTTTTGAGTCTCACATGAACAAGTTGAAATATGCAATAGAAAAGGTACAGAATACTAATTTGGCATAATGTTGAAAAATGTCAATCAGAATGAATTCTTCTAGAATCTGATAGATGAAGAGTGGGAGAGGGTGCGTGGTTTCAATCTTGCCTCCCTCCTTACACATGCAGTCTTGAGCTTGAGCCCAGCGTAGGAACTCAGCATTAGCTGAAAGAGGTGTAGTTTCTTTTCTAGACAGAATTAGAATGGAGAGTTTTATGCTATAGGTGATTTTTCTTTTGTTCTTGCCATATTTCACTCCGAGGTTTTCTTGACTCTCTAGAGACTGTGGAAATGATGGTACTCTGTCCTTTCATGTAGTGTCTAAAAGTGAGACACAAAATATTTGTTGCTGACTTCTTCCTCTCAGAAATGTTGTCTTCCCTTGTCGGGTATTTAGGATTGGTCTCTTATGTGGTGGAGGGAGGTTGGCATTTGTTGCTGTTGTGAGTGGCTGTATAGGACTGGGGCTAGATCTTAGTTATTTTGACATGTTAATGAAGTTTAAAAAGATGAAGAATGTAAATCCTTTAAGCAGCTGTTTTGTGTCTTTAACTCTTAATCAAGGCCATGATCTCATGTAGAAAAATAGCAGAATCCAGCCAGAGAGTGCAGGTTTATATCAGCCGTGTCATGGATGCCCTGGGAGAATTCAGGTGAGTTGATGGAATTCTGAATTACAAGGAGGGCACTTTTTATGCCCCATGAAAGATATTTGTCACTTCCAGTTATAAGCAGCTGAATGTAAGGTCTTGTATTTTAGACAGTCTTGAAGTTAGTGTGAATGAATTTTCTGCATTGGTTATTGGGTAAATGTTTTCAGAAACTGTAGCAAAACCAGCTCAGCCGTTTTCCAAATGAGAATGAAAGTACTTCTGTTGCACTCACGTGTTCCTGGGATTGTCAGTTAAAGTCTAAACATATCAAGAGCTGGCTTCTGCTGATGACTGTGCAGTTGGGTGGATTGATGTACTCATGCAGATAGATGTGTCTACTCCTAGCCATAGATGCTGAACAGTGTAAGTGGCAAGAAAGTTGCAGTCAAAAGCTCTATTTTCTGTACTTGAGAAAGGAGGGAATGGTGAAACGCTAAGCAAATCAGCCCAGGAGAGAGAGAAGGCTTTAATGGCATGGAGGTTCTGTAATATCTGGAATGTAGAATCGAATCTGTGCAATTAATAGAATGGGTTCTTCTTCCCCTCAAATTTATTTCTGAATGGTTTCTCTGAATAAAATTCACAAGGGAATGCAAAAAAGGGAAGCCAAATATGTAACTCATACAAAGACGCTAGTTTACTGATAATATGAATTAAACAGACTAGTGTTCTGAACACTAGTTTGTTTAGTCTCCTAGATCTTGTAAAAAAAAGGCAAATTAAAATCTGGACAACAGAAGAGGAAAGGGGCTGCTTTTACTTATTTGCAGAATTGAAACATACATGTTAACATTGACTTTTTGGGAATTTTTTTTTGAGCAGAGTTACCATCTGGAACCTATATTCTGTTCCAAGGATTGCAGAGCCTGTGTGGCTTAATATGATGTCCAGCACCCTGGAAAAGAATCAGCTATGCCAGCGTTTTCTTAAAGAATTTACCTTTTTGATAGAACAGATCAACAAAAATCAGTAAGCTTCCCCCACTCCTTTTTTCTTAAGAAAAAGCTTATGTGCTTCCCAGTGTATGTGACTGTGTTAAAGCACTTAATGGGGTGTTACTTTGGACATGCTTTTTTTACTTTTTTTCTCCTAGGTTCTTTGCTGCTTTGTTGACTGCAGTGCTGACATATCACCTGGCGTGGGTCCCAACAGTGATGCCAGTTGACCATCCTCCCATCAAGGCCTTCTCTGAGAAGCGCACATCCCAGTCTGTGAACATGCTGGCAAAATCTCACCCATATAACCCTCTCTGGGCACAGCTGGGTCAGTATGATTTGGAAAGCTTCGGATTTTTCTGTAACAAGCACCTTTGTGCATTCACTTTTTTTAGATAAGGGCTACTTGTAATCCAGGTCACACTTCCTGCTACCAACAGGTGTCTTTTGCTTGATTCATCAGAGCATTTGGAGGTGTCTTTGCATATCCTGCTTTTTATTCTTGTTCCTTGTTGACATCCTCTGTTACACTGTCTGGTTAACTTGTTATAGAAATGTTAATATTGTGCACGTGCTCTGAATGGTCTGAGCAGTTTGGAAGAAAACAAGACAAAATAGACTGGATTGAGAAGAGTTACCTGGGCCTTGGAGGCCTTTTATAGTTGAATTTGGCTACTTCCCTTTGTTTCTCACATAGCTAGGGTGGAGAGCAGGACAGTAGATTAGAAGTTTGGCAGTTGGCAGTAGCTCCATTCAGTTACTATTACATGAATGGGCTTGGGGCAAGATTTTTTTCTATGCTCTGTGCCTCAGGCTGGTCTCTGACAAATATTTTATAGCTTGTAAATTATCTTGATTCAAGGGATTAGATAACTGATGGCAAATGAGTAGGTGAATGAAAGCTGAGAAGGTAATTCTGTCAGTGGTAAATATTTGAAAATTGCTCCTCTTCTTGGCAGCGGATGAAAATCTGACATCAGACAGCCCTTCACTTTAGCTGAAATACTATATTGCCATGTAAAATAACACATGTGCACACTGAGGCAATGATGTGACTTACTCTGTAATGCTGGTGCTGTCTCTTCCTGATTGGCTTAGGCTTCTTATTCTCAGTAACCTCTGTGAAAGATTTGCTACTTCGGCCATGTAGTTGTAGTGAACTGTTTCCTGGTTTAAGATGTCATTTAAACATTTTGCAGAGGTTAGACTGAAGGGGAAATTAGAAGTGTGTTCTTGGTGTTGAGGACAGAGCCAGGCCTGGAGTTGCAAAACCCAGCTGGACTGGAGGCGTAAGCTCGGTAGTAGCTCTTGTGGTTGCTCCCAGGAGTCACCACTGGTGACTAGTCAAGAGTCTGTTTCTCTTTTAGTCTTGCCAAGTTCTCAGTGTCTGAAGTCAAAATGCTTTCTGATTTTGTTTCATTCTTATAAAGCCCAAAAAGCTGTTGCTGTTGTGGTTGCAGAAACTGATTGTGAAAGTGAGATGTTGCCCTCTGCTGGAAGAAAAACAAAAAATCAAGTCTTTGTGCTTAAAAATGGAAATGACAGGATTTTGATGTACCTTTAGACCTCTATTTTCATTACATATTACATATCAACTGCAATTATATACTGATAAAATTATAAGTCTCTTTGTCATGAAGACATACTGTCTCTTAAACACCAGCTTCAATCTAATGGTATTAACAAGTATTAGTACTTTTTGAAGATTATGATTTTGACTTGTTGTACTGTCTTACAAGTATTTATATAAAAGCCGATTGTGAAAAGAACATGAAGCCTGAATCTGATTTCCATAGCAATTGTGCTCAACTCAAAAGTAAAACAATATATTCCAGTTTCATTTCCATATTGCTTGTCCTTGTGGCCTGGCAGCCTTTTAGATTAATTGAGGCGTCTGAAGCCCACTTTTGGTTCCTGAGGAATGAATTTACTGGCTTGTTAGGGTCTGGGGCTGGTTGCAAGGGTGTCTCTAACTGAGGGAAGATGGCACCACTGATGCCACCACCCAGGAACCTCTCCAGTGCATCACTAGCATTGTAGGAAATGGCAGATCTTAGCAGGGCAGACAGTAAGAGAGCCATGGAATAACTCATTCATCCTTGTTTTGTAGAAATGGAATTGGGAGCCTTATTCCTTTTATGTTCTGTATAATGAGAAAGAGACTGGACATAAAGGTGCTCTTTGGTTGTGTTGTTTTTGGTTTTTTTTGGTTTGTTTTGTTTTTTTTTTTTGCTGTGTTACTGTTAAAACCAAAGCTTCCCTTGCCCTTGGAAGAAACCTTTCTGAAGCTCTGTTTATAACTCTTAAGATAGTGTTGCTTCTTGAGGTCTAGTACAAAATCTTGATGGCAAGCTCTGTCCAGAACAAAATCTGAGCAGCCCAGAGGAAAGATTTAGCACCTAAAAGCAGTCTGATAGTTAAGCAGGTAGGTGATCAAGCCTCAAGGTAGAGAAGCCTGCTTTCCACACTTCAGGTAGTTGAAAAAAATTATGCATTTGCTGGCTATTTTCCACATGCTGGTGAAATCAGACATAGTTTGATTAGCCAAAGACAATTTAGTGAGTATTCTCTGATAGGTGTCATGTGAAGACAACTGGGTTAACTCATCCTAGGAATAGACACTTCTTTGAGTTAGCTGATCCTTTACCAATAGGGCATGTGACCATTCCCTTACTAGCTATCTATGTTTACTTCTCCCAGAACTCTGGAGTAGGAGCCCTTTAGTTGATAGATGATTATAAGCAACTGGAAGATAATTGCCACTCTCCTAAAGAAATATGTTGAAAGTAGGATATGTACAACCTTAGTTCTGTTTAAAAAGCAGTTATTCAGGGTAAATAGCAATAAGTCATTCTTGGGGGGACTCAGATGATGATGTAGTAGTGCCTACCTTTCATATTGCAGTTGTATTTTGATTTTCTGCTTCTCCGCTCCCCCCGACAAAGTTAAATGCTCATGTGATTGAGGTTGGCTCCCCCATACACAGCACGTGCCTTGCTCAGTGAGGTAGTTAAATGCCTCTTTTTTCTGAACCTTATTTATTAAGCTAATATTTTTTACCTTTTTTCTTTTTCTGTATCTTAGTCCTGAAAAAGTAATTAAGATTTTATCTGCATAAAAATGCCTGTGTTGAACAGAAAGGTCACTGCACTAAAACAGAAAAACTTTGATGTGAAAGAAAATTAGTAGAAAAATAGAAAATAGTGTAACTGCCTTCTGAGTTTTGCTGGACATACATTTTTCTTTGCCCCAGCTTGTGTCAGTCTCCAGGTGATAATGTCTTGTAAGCATTGTGTACATTAAATCTCAGTGGCTCTTAACAGAAAGAAAATGAGTAATAGCAGCTGATTCTTCACAAAAACCCTTCTGGACAAAAGCCAGGTGTAAGAAGCATTAGGGAACTTCCTTTGTTACTCTTTGTTTAAAACTTTTATGAATTCACTGTGAAAGCAATTAACTGTCTACTTGTGTCCATAGTAAATGCTGTTTCAGAATGTGTTGAATTTGAGCAGTATAGGTTATATTACAGTGCTGTGTAATTTCACAAACCTGTGAAATTTTTGCTTTCCTGTGTAGGTGATCTCTACGGTGCCATAGGCTCTCCAGTTAGATTGACTCGAACTGTGATTGTTGGAAAGCGCAAGGAGCTGGTGCAGCGCTTGCTCTATGTTCTAACTTACTTCATCCGGTGCTCTGAGCTGCAGGAAAATCAGCTGACGTGGAGTGAGAAGGCTGGGGAAGGAGAGCAGGTGCTAAATGGAAGTAAGATCACAACTGCACTAGAAAAAGGAGAGGTAGAGGAATCTGATTATGTGGTTGTCACTGTTAAAAATGACCCTGCTCTTGTGCCTCCAATCCTACCTCCAAAGAATGATGGAAGTAAGAACAATAGTACTGCAGAGTGGGTGCATGAACCAGAAAGCACTCAGGCTGTCCCAGTCTCTTCAAAAGAAAAGAGGGAAGCAATAGGAAAGGCCAGTCAGACTTCTGAAACATCTGTTGACTGTCTAACTGGCAGTTTCTGTAAAGGAGCAGCTGATGGTAGGAAAAGAACTGTCACTGATACAGGAATTGTATCCTACCACTCTGAAGAATCATCTAAATTAGAGGATGTAGTGGATGTAAAGAAGAACAAGAACCAGAATGAGAGAAAAGTGGAAAAGCACTTTTCTAGTAGGTCATCTGCCCTGCCTTGTCCTGAGAGGTCTGGCCACAGGAGTTCACACTTAGAAAAGGTCACGTTTCAGATTGGAAGTTCAGCATCACCAGAATCAGACTTAGAAACTCATAGAAGAGAAATGGAAGAAAATCTGAAGGCATTAATTAAAAATCCAGAGGTGACACATTGTGCCTCAAGTTCCACAAATCTGACTGTGGATGCTTCTCAGAATCAAGAAGACAGTTGTGAAGCTGCCTTTATGCCCATCAGTAAACATAATGTTTGTTATGCACAAATCCCACCGTGTGAGGATAATGAAAGTATACTTAACCAACATATGGAAAGTAAAGGAACTGAAGTGAATTTAATTAACTCAGTATCTAGTGAACTGCTTTTGCCCACAGATAACATAGAAACTGTAAAATTGCCAAACATGAAAGAAAATAGAACTTTATGCTCTGGCAATATGGAGAACTATTCTTCTGACTGCGTAGAAGCAGATTCTGCTGTCAAACAGGATTCCCCTAAAGTGGGTGCTAAAGATGTCCCCTATGGGGATTCTGGAAGGAAAACCTCCTTCAGAGTTGAAGGGGACATTCCAAGGAATGAGAGTTCAGACAGTGCTCTTGGAGCTAGTGATGAAGAAGGTGATTGTTGTATCCCTGATGAAGTGCATCAAAATAACATTGGCAAACGGCTTGAAGAATTTGCAGAAGTGGAACTTCCTTTGCCAAGGTAAAGAAGTCTGGTTAATTTAGAACTAAATGGAGTCAAAAGCTATAGCTACTTTGGAGCTGTATAAAGTTTCAAGTCTGAACTCTTCGGGAAACTTGACTTAAGTTACTTGCAAACAAATCACCAGCAGACAGTGATGTAGTTAGAATTCTTGTAAGTAGATTTGACATGAAGGAATCAGAGATAGAGCAGGTTTAATAAAGTTTTGAGACAAAGGTGTACTTCAAATGCCTAAAAAAGGTGATCAAACTTTTTATGTAAACTGACTGAAACACGTAGATAGAACATCTGAGGACAAGCAAAACTTTGCTTAAAAAGATAGCTGTTTAGATTTGACATAATTATAAGTCAAATACAAGTTTGGAATAAACATGGACATGCTATTTGAAAATTTTTGAGCATTCCAGATGCACATGGAGTTTGGTGCTTAAGGTCAGTTTCTAAACTGACCTTAAGCATGAGAATTGAAGAAAACTGAAATATAGCAAAATTGTAAGCTGCAGAACCTGGAGCTCATGCATCCCACAAACTCCAGTGCACATAAATTTGTTTATTTACAAGTCTGAAGAAATCAATACCCTGTTAAATTTTAGCTTTCAGAATTCTTGTTTCAAGAGCACCAGTAGATTTTTACAGGTGTGAACATTTATGTATACTTGGAGTACATCTGTTGATTAACATTTGCAGTAGAAGCAGGCATGACTTTGAATTAATGTAAAATCTGAATGCAGTTTGTCAAGCAAGAATCCTACCTGCTTTGTATTTCTGTATTTCAGGTCAAATACCATCAGCAGTCAATGTGTGAAAAACTTTGGAAGATCACTTCTGGGTGGTTACTGTCATACATATATACCTGATCTAGTGCTGCATGGAATAAATAATGATGAAAAACTCAAGCAGTGTCTACTAGCAGATCTACTTCATGCAATGCATGTGAGTTAAAGTGCTGCATCAGAGTAGGAGTTGTGTTAATACTGAAATCTACAGAAGCAGGTTATTTCACTAGGTTGCTTTTTTTACTTACCTGTTCTTCTCTTTGAAAGACATAAGCTCTTCATTTACTATATGCAACACCTGTTCATGCAAGAATCATGTTCTTTCCTTTATTACTTTTAAGGCTTCTCTTCAAAGATTAACGCAAGGAAGATTGTTTGCAACTTCAAGTTACAAACAAGGGAAAAAAAAAACTTGAGCTGCTTCTCTTTTCCATCACAATAGCAGACAAAATTACCTGTATTTCAGAAAAATTATATACAAGTTGAAACATCTTATTTTGCCACTTAGTGACATGTGTTGCAGGTGAGGTAAAGTCTGTAGCGGAAATGACTGACTACAGAAGGTAATTGTATATAGATAAGAACTTTGCTGTGTTCTTTCTCCACTGTAAGTACTCCTAAATTATAAAAATTATAACTAGTCTTTCACTGGAATAACTGTGTGACCTCAGTATGCAATTTAAAGTGCTTATCTAGTAATTGTCAGCAGCTTTTCTCTGTAGCAATTAAGCATCATCCTGCTGGCATGACTACATGTACTATCCAGAGCAGTGATGTGTGTGTGTATAATTATTTAAGCAGCAGCAGATTGGTCTGGTGTGATAGTGTGGTGGATGACAAGTGGACCATGAGCCTGTGCAGCTCTTGCTGCTGTGAGAGCCAGTGCTCTCCTGGGTGCCTAGCAAGAGCATTCTTGCAGGTCAAGGGAGGTGAACTTGCCCCTTTACTCAGCTCTAGTGAGGCCATATCTGGAGTGCTGTGTCCAGTCTGAGCTCCACAGGTCAAGAAGGATGAGGAGCTACTGGAGACAGTCCAGTAGAGAGCCCCGAAGATCATTAGGGGTCATTTCTCTTCTCAGAGGAGACTAGAGGAGATCTCATTGGTGCATATAAATATCCTAAAGGGAGGTGTCAGGAGAGTGGTGCTCAGCAACAGGACAAGGTGCAGTGGCCATAAACTAAAACACAAGAAGTTCCAGCTCAGTTTCTGAGGAAGAACTTCTTTATGTTGAGGGTGGCAGAGCACTGGAACCAGCTGCTCAGGGAGGTCATAGAGTTTCCCTCTCTAGAGACATTCAAAACCCACCTGGACTTGTTCCGGTGTCACCTGCTCTAGGGGACACTGCTTTGGTGAGGGGTTAGATTAGAAGATCTCCAGAGGTCCCCTCCAACCCTGGCTATTCTGTTGTACCCTGCTTGACTGTGCATAGTAAAATCCCTAATATATCTCTGAAGTATTGAATGTACTTTTGCCATCACTGGATTGGTGTAATTATTACACTCTTCATTTTGAAAGAAACTAATCTCTTCAGGGTAGGGGGAATACATGAGGAAAAATAAAATGGAGTAGTGACTTTCAGGCACTAATAAAAATGTCTCAAATTGGCAGATGCAGTGCTGCTTAATGTAAATCTTGTCACTGAAGCTGGTATTCCTTGTCATTTTTTGAAATTACTTTGGTTCCCTAATGGACAAAACCATGCATTGAATCACTTTATTTGCTACGTCAGTGTGAATAAAAGTGAAACTGTGGAAGTGTATATGAAAGTATCACATAATTGTATTTTGTTTCTATTGCAGCATCCAGTGCTAGATGAGCCCATAGCAGAAGCTGTCTGCATTATTGCAGACACAGATAAATGGAATGTACAAGTAGCTACAAGTCAGAGGAAGATGACGGACAGTGTGAAGTTAGGCAAGGATGTTCTGGTTTCAAGTCAAGTATCCAGTCTGTTGCAGTCTATTTTACAGCTTTACAAACTCAACGTCCCAGCTGACTTTGTAAGTATTTCTTTACTGAAGGCTGAAGCTAATGGAAATTGTTTAGCTCAGATAGCAAACATAAAGTTCTGTACACTGTGTTGCAATATCAATGAACTAAGGCCTGATATAATGCAGAGCTGTTACAACATGTTGAAAAGAATCCATGCTACAGTCCAGTAATGGATACCAAATCCTGGTTCTGGCAAACAACTTCCTATTCATGGGGTTTCTATTCAACCCATGTAATGGATGCCTCTTCTCTCTACCCTCCAACTAACTGTGTTTCTGTTTGTTTACTTGACCCTTCTGCTTCATACATGTTTTAGCAAGTGCTGTCTTGGGTAGCTTCGCAGATGGTTCCATAGGATTCATGGGATGAGACACCTAGGAATGGGTGGGTTGCAGCAGGGAATGTTACTTTGTCATGTTGCATGCTCCCTATCCCACAGCATCCTTTCCTGTTCTCATTGGTAGTGGAGTTCATCAGAGCAAATCAGTAATGCTGGTTTTGCTGACTACAACAAAATTACCCACAATTATGACTGCAATAACTGTGATTAAATTTTTAGCACGTGATTATTGGTGAGGGGAGATGGAGTGTTTTTTCAGTAGTCACCCCTTTTCTAATAAACAGAATTGATTTGTCCTTCAGCAGATAGCTTTGAGAAATTCTGTAGGAGTCCTGTGTAATGACTGTGTCAGCAGATGGAAGAGGAAGATAGAGCTAAGCACTAATAGTTCTAAATAGTGTTGGTTGGCACTGTTTTGGGTTAAATTGGTGGTATTGATTAGACTAAGTTCTTCAAGTCAAATGCTAGGCAAAATGGTACATTTTTGAGTGTTTTCTCTGGATTCTTCTGGGCATTGAAAAATATGCAACTGTGGTTGAAATTGTATCTTAACGTCAGTACAGTCACCCCTTACTTAAATCATGGCATTTTTAAACTGAGTAGTTGATTTTGCAACTGAAGTGTTCTTTCCAATGTTTCCTTAGGATTTGTTTATGCAGTTTCTATATGGTTTGGGAGGTGTCTGGGGGCAGAATGATTTTCAGGGGTTTTTATTTCCTTTTTCTTACAAAAGGAACTGAAGTGAGAGTGCTAGTTGTTTGTAAATTTTTCATCATTTGTTTTAGAAATACTTTGATCCTTCTGTCAGGGGATTTTGCAGCCCTGCTAAAACAATATCTGTGCATGTGAAGCTAAGTGTTCCTAAACTCTAGGAGAAATGTGACATTTTCATAGAAGCATTTCTATGGATTTAAATTTGGATAAAAACATATGTACTGATGTACTCATATCAATCAGAGATGACCACAAAGCAGCATGTTTGAAGTTTCCTTTTGGGATGCACATCTCTTTACATGCATTTACTGTTCAGACGAGTAAGTATTTTGAGGGTTTTGTGGTACCAATGAAAAACAGCCCAATATGAGACCAGATGAAAGGCAAGTGGTGATATCTTTGTTGTACCACTTTAGACTAATAGTTGTGCTGCAGACAGCTTTGCAGTGTGCCCTGGTGAGAGGAAAGTGCTGATTGCAACTGCCGCATTTCAGCTGTATGTCAAAAGTTTTACGTGCACCTTTAAGCTACGCTTCTGTTTTTAAAAGGTTCTTGACTTTTTTTCCATTTGGTCAATGAGAAAAACTGTAGAGGAAGCTCATATAAAAAAAAAAAAGAAAATACTTGTGGACACTGAACAAGACACGTTAATATACTGAGTACAATTGTGGGCAGAAATGTCTTTTGATTCTTTGCTGGTATTCAGAAGGAATAGATCCTATTATGTAAACAAAAATAAAAATAATGTGGGATTCTTTTAAAATAATGTGGAATTCTTCCTTACTTGCTCCCTCATAACAAAAAAAAACCAAAACAACACAATCCTTAACACAAATACTGGGATTGAAAGCTGCTTTGTGGATCAGCTGCATGCTCCACTGAACCATTGCGAAAGTACTCATAGGCTTTTTGCATGAGGGTCACCTGTCATGGAAAAGATAAGAGTGCTTGCTTCCCTTTTGGACAGAATCAGAAGTGTTATGATTATAATTGCTTGAGTGAAAATTTGCTTGAAGCAAATTGATCAAACTATTCTCAAAAGCCTTTCCTCCATTGGTGGCAGTGATTTTACTCTACTACCCTGTAGCATGGTTTTTAAAATGCCTCTTTAGTTTCCATTATTAAGACTCAGCATTAGCTCATTGAAAGAATAATTAAACATCTTCATCTTGCTCCAGATGATCAGAAAAATACATATTAGGCTGCCTACAAGCCTGAGACTTTTTTTTCCTCATTAGTTTTTTAAATAACAAAACTTGTCTCACCAGGTCTCACTTCTAATTCTTAGGGTTTTCGTTCAGCTCCAGCACATGGGATGATGGCCTGAAGCTATTTGCTGCTACTGTTTCTAATTGCTGTCTGTGCCTGCTAGATGATTATATGTTTGATAATGTGAGGTTCTGTATGTGCTTCCTGCTTTCATCTCCTGATTTCAGAGACCTGACTTATTTAACTTTTTTGAAGTGGTCATCCCTGTGAAAAGAGGGAATATATCAAATTGAACGTACCTTTGTCCTACAACAAAATGCCTGATAAGATTTCCTACCCATTCAGCTTGTGGAGACATGCTACCTGCTGACCTTGTCTTGCCAGAATAACTCCTCTCTTTCCTTGAAGCCAAGGTTTTTATGCTCTCTTGTAGTTGGTATATGAGAAATTGCCGTGAATCACATGACTGTATTTAAAAATAATATGCATATCTAGCATTCCACTGCTAGAAAAAAAGTGGATATTACCTTTTGGCAATCAGCATCAAATGTTTAAGCAATTTTAAACTAGAAGTACTTAGGAATTATGAAAACAAATGCCTAAAATGGATTTGTAACTTAGTTGCTACAGAAAAGCAGTCAGCAAAAGAGTTTCAATTCTGTGACCAATAAGGTACTGGCATCTTCCACCTCTTGAGTCTTGGTTTCTTGAGTGGCACTAGAGCCTTAGAGCTAGATAATTTTAGAAACTGTTGTCTAAACCAAGTCTTTCAGAAAAATAGTACTGACTTACAACCAAGACACCTTGATCCAAGAAATCTGCCTTAATTCTTCGTAAGATACCTGGAATTATTTTGAACCTCATTAGAACTGTTTAAGTTGGCAGAAATGCAGTGACTTAAGTGGAAATAGAGGTGCAGTTTATGCAACAGATGTGCTGCCCAAGAGAGCTGGAATGCCCCAGTTCTATGAGGGGTTTCCTCTTTGTGGGGTAGTGTAACTTTGTAATGTTTATAGCACAATTGTAATAAATCCAATTGCCTCGTCTAGATTTTGGAGTGGAGGCTTAGTTTATCTTCCAAGATAGAAGGTAAAGTGATGTGCTTACATTTCTGTAAGATTTGCATGTGATTGCAAAAGCTGTTCTGAGGTTTATGGTCTGTGTTTACAGTGCATAATGCATCTTGAAGATAGACTGCAAGAGATGTATCTCAAAAGCAAAATGCTTTCAGAATATCTGCGAGGACATACAAGAGTGCATGTAAAAGAGCTAGGAATTGTATTGGGGTGAGTATTGCAGGTATCAGTCTCAAGCAACGGCAAAAGCTGAGGCAGTTGTTTTTCCTTTTCATCTGAGTGTTGACGGCTTGTTCTCATGAGGATTTGCTTCATATCTAACACTCCTCTTTCATGTGCCTAATAAGTGGCAAAAACGGGCTCTACTGAGCTATCTCAATATGAGGAGGAGACATTTATACAACAGCAAAATACTTGTAATTTTTAAATCATCAGTATTAAGAAAGTTTGGAATTTGCATTCATACACACTCTCTTTTGTTGTGATCTCCTTAGTGAGAACTTCATCCCAGCAAATACTTCATAATTTTTGGAATGAAAAGGGTGCATTTGTACTTAAGGGACAAGAGGGTCTCAAAAATCAGGTGTAGAAAAATAAACGGGTGTCCTGGTCAACAGCTGTCTTCTAATAATAGTACTTGATTGGCATATAACCTTTAGGGATCTGCCTGCTGACAGCAGAAAAAGGGGAAGAAGTAAATACTTTCTCAAGATGTTTTCTTAGCACTGTAGATTAATTTATCTTTTTCCAGACTGTTCAAGATTTCATCCTCAGAAATGTAGCTGTAAATAGTGAAACCATGAAATAAGCACTTTTCTCCATGTGTGTGTATGTGTTAAATATATATAAATATGTATATACATCCTGGCCTCTGAGCAGCTTCACATTTGGAAATAGTTGGAAACTGACCATTACAGTTGAGAGACATTCCTTGAACTTTTATTGGATAATAATTAATAATTTCAGCTTTTGGTCATTTTTGGTAAGAAAGTGCTGCTATTTAGCAAACTGAGTTATATTCAAAACCTGAAATTCATAATCTTCCATGAGCTGATACTTAATATTTTGTTAAACTGGGCTTATTGGTGCCTACTCACTGGTAAGACTACAAGCTGAAGCTTATAGTTTAGCAAATACATAAAAGATCTTTTCTTTAAACCACAAAAGATTATATAGCACAGAATGTAATGCTGCTTGCTATGTTTTGATTTAAGTGCTAACTTACTTCTTGGTTTTAAGCATTATTTGCCTACCTTTACTGGTAATACATGATTAATAACAGTAAATAATAATTAAATAACTTAGTAATAGCAAGACACTTCCAGTTTCTTTAAAATGGATGAAAAGTATCATCTTGTATTTCTCTTGTGAAAGTGACTGTATATTATTTTAAAGTCTCTCTCTTTTTTTTTTTAATTTCTAGGATTGAATCCAATGACTTGCCTTTGTTGGCTGCTATAGCAAGTACTCATTCCCCATATGTTGCTCAAATACTCTTATAAATTAAATTCTCAGGATAGTCATTCCCTTAAAGTACAATTATGAAAATGGGAATGTTGAATGAAGAACAGAGGTGCCAAACACTGGTAAAGGGGAGCACTGATGAAAGCAGGTGATGACTGTACATTCTGCCACCTTCTGATTCTGATTTCAACTGGATGTTTTTATCAGAGGACTTCAGTTTACATAACACAAAAGGCATTCAGGTTTTTCTTACAATCTCTCTTCTGACTTAAATCAAGAGACTGCATCCTTGCATTTTATTTTTATTCAAAGGACAAAAGTTAACACTATGTGGCAGACTGGGTTCTGCCATCCAAAACGCTGCTCAAAACCATGAAGTACCAGTTAAAAGAACAAGTGGGTTAGAGTGGATTTCGTAATACTGTGCTTGTGAGTGTGGTGTGGTGTATGTTTCTTTGCTGGGGAGGAGGAGGAGTAGCTGTTAACTCTGTATATAGCATTCCTATACAAAAGTGTATTTGGTGGGACATGATTTTCTTGCAGAACTTACGTGTGGTTTTGTAGAAGTGATGGGCTCAGAACAAGGAACTTGGATTCAGCAGCCAGATGTCATGTGGGAATGGAGGTGTGTGTGAGGTTGATGTGACTTTTCCTTTTAAGGGGAAGAGGTTGAGAGCTGTGGCTGCTTCTGTTTTAATGAGGAGGCATTCAAATGGGCCCAATGGCTACAAGTGAAATGGAATGGACTTCTGAGAGAGGGATTTTATGGGAAAGCCTTATGGAACTTCTGCTACAAGTTTACATTTGTTGCTGATGCAACTTCAGTAGCTGTTGATTTGCTGTATGACTTTGGTCCTGGGAACTAAACTTTTCTTGGTGTCATCAAGAATTGCTATCTCCAATGAATTTGAAAAACTTCTGAATGATGCCAGTGCTGTGAGCGTGTGTCCATGTGCACATATACCCAACAATTGGCGCAAACTGAAGACAATCGTATTGGGGAAAAACAAGACATCAAACAACCCCCACCAAACCTTTGGTCAAAAATATTACTTTTTTCCAGCTATGAGTTGTCATTCTGGGTAGGAATAAAAGAGGAACGTTATTTGAAGTAAAATGAAATGTGGGGGAAAACCCCAATATTTGATATTACTCTGAATGTTTGCAATTGCCCTTTTTGATTTTACAGAAATCTTGAACTATCATCCAGGTGCCTTTCCTTACTAGGTTAACTACTCTGACACCAGGAACTACTTCTCCACTAGTTGATATTGGCCTTTGGTGTTTCTAGAAAGCAAAATAAAATTTTGTACTTCACGGTTTTCACGTGGTTGATTAAAATGAATGTAAAAATACTTTTTTTTGCATAAAGCACTGTTAAGCTGGATATGAAACTATGGACCAGACTGAAGAGAGAACAAAGGATCAAAACATTCTTAAATGGAAAACTCAATGTTGGACCATTCTGTTGTGAGCCACTGTGAATACGGTGTCTGAAATTGTCATCTTGCAAGCATATTTCTGGCAACACAATTGCTTGAAAATAGTAAATTCTAATAAGAAACTCCTGGTCACCAGTTGTGAGTTCTCCTTGTTGATGGTTACAGATTTTTAACACTGAAGGGACACACTTTTATTAAAAGTGGTTTTATTTCCTACTACCTTGGTGTTTGGACTTTTCTACAGTAAACTTTCAATGATTTGAAATAATGAAATGTGCTTATTGTGAATTGTTTAAATGTGATGGGGTCTTGATTAACCTTGTGTTACTTTTTGAGGGAAATAGGTAGACTGGCCTACTGTGAAAAGAGGTTTCCACGTGGAGGGATACTTAATATTCTGATGCAACACTACTAAAGCTGTTCCTTCTATGCTGGTTTTCTGACCTAACATTCCAAATGTTTCTTTTATTGCATTTTCATATTTCTCCCTAGTATTCTGCCTAAAAAGGCTAAAATCTTTCTATGGTTCAGGTTTTTTCTTCCTGCTTTATAGCTAAGCAAACTTTTCATATCTTTGGTCTGTGAATCCTATCTGCTGGAAAGTAAATTTACCTCTGCATATGGCTTTTAGCAGATACCACTTTCTATTTCACAAGGTTAAAACAAGGAACGAACCATAAAGCAAGTCACGTATTCCTAAACTACCCTCTTGATGGAGAATGTGTGTGTGCATGTGTAAGACTATGAAACTGCTTCTGAGTGTATATAGAAATCCTCATGTACTTTCTCTATTTCATGTCACTCTTAAATAGTAGCTGACATCATTAAAAGTCAGTCCAGTTCTTTTAAAGTGGGTTTTTTTATCTGAACAGACTCTGACAGTTCTTCAAAGAAATATATGCTAACTTAAAGATGTGCTTTTGTTGTCACAGGGTTTGCTAAAGAGGACAGAGATCTGCAGACATTCAGTGATTTCAAGATTAATGCCATAATCAATAATAGACCTGATTTTTACCACATCAACTGTTAAAAAATAAATCTGCCTTTGGGCAAGACATCAGTTAATTTTGTGGTGGCATGTGAGCCAATGGTCAAAAGCACTTGAATTTTCTTCAGCCCAGGCTAAAACTTCATGGTTCTTGCTGCTTTCTCTAACATTTTGCTGCTCTTCAGAAATTACACATTGAACTATTTTATTCTCACAGTTTTAGTTTTGGGGGAAAGAAAATTCAAAATGAAAGCTCTTTATTATCTTTAAAAGGCTTTAGACTAATGGAAGCTAATTACATATTTCCCCTCCACCAAATGTACTACCTCAGTTGACAGGATTCCACTTTCTAGGGCTTTTTTTGACTCGAAGTCTTTAACTTGTTTTTGGTAGCATCTTGATGTTTATGTAAATTGGTGTGGCATGACAGGGCAGTAAGTATTTACAGATGTGTTCTTTAGACATTTTTAGGGCATGTTTCTGGTTTTATTTTAATAGGATGAAAAGTGATATGAATGTACAGCTGTGTTGAAAATTGATAATGTAGCTTAATTTTCAAATATTCTAAAGTTGTTTTTATCAGTATTATGTAGGTTTTTTGTAAACTTAAATACATACTTTCTTGGTTAGGTGGGAGTGCACAGTCTTTCCAAAATCCCACATAAATGTGGTTTACATACTGAAATTTAAAGAATGTATGCTGTTTTCAGGCAAGACTAAACACAGGGGAGGAATCAACTGCTAAATTGTAGAATTTAGTTGAAATTAATTCTTTAACCCCAAACAATACCAAGATTTGAACATTTTTATTTAAGTAGGTACTCTCTGAACTAATCTGTACAACTTTCTTTTACTCCCAAAAAACTAACAGACACTGATCCTGTAATTCACATTTCTGATGGCATCTTCCAAAATTTTAGATTGATTTTCTCCACTCCATATTATAAGCATCGTTGCTCTTAAAGTCAAAACCTCTTTTCAGATGCATCAAACTCTTGTATATAAGGTTTATGCAAAATGATCCCTTACCCTTCAAGGATAACTTCTACTTCAATTAAAAGGACCCAAATAAAAACTAAGTCTGAACTACTGAATTTAGTCTAGACAAATTCCTTTTTTTTTTGGGGGGGGTAGGGTGAGGGTTGGAGGTCAAATGAAGTAATTTGACATACATGGCAAGTTTTCCATTGTAGAAAAGTGTGTGTTGCTATTGCATGTTTGGAGAACATAGGCTTTTTTAGGAATGACTGAACACCAATGTCAAACTACATGTTTTTTTTCTTATAGTTGTTTATGTACACTATCATTTTGGTCAATTTCTTTGTGGCATTTGGTGCAATAAACTTTCTGAAATCAATGTGAGTGGTATTTGGTATCTTCCTTTCTAAAATTTCTGAAATAGCTGTTGTAGCTGAGGTCCTAACAGTACATGTTCTATTAGATAACCCAGCAGCAAAGTAAGTACAAGAAGTAACTTGTAACTTGTTACTTCCTGTAACTTCTCACAGGAAGGCTGCACAAAATTTGGGACTTGGTTGGTCATCCTTGGAAGTTTTACCTCAGTTACATGTAAACAAGAGCTCTTACACTATGAAAAATATGGGCAAAAAATAGTGGAAAATGAAGACAGTGACTGTTGGAATGGGTGGTGCAGAGGTTCAACACACCTGTGTGGCTGGTACTTAGTTCTTTCCATAAGCATTTGAGCTACCTCAAATGTTGCTATTAGATAATAAATTCAATTTTTAGAATTGCTCAACTGAGCAGGAGTGAGTAACCCCTAATATCTACTGGATTAGGGAATGGTTAGTGCATTTGATCTGATTTAGTTTCAAATAAAGAGGTCTTTCATTTCTCTCAGATCTTCCATGACCTGACTTTTCCTTTTAGTATTCTGAAGTTTATTGGAAAATCCTTATTTAGAAATAAAAACAGAAAGGGGGTGAGATGATCAACAGTATTTGTGCTTCTTTGAGTTTGATTTGTAGCATGTAAGAATTTCTTACTTATAGACTGAAATGTTTGCTTATTGGTCAGGCTAACAAGAATTGGAAGTAAGACAAAAAGCCCAGGAACTTTGACATCAAGGACTTGATAGTGAGGAGGAAACCCAATTACCTGTCTGGTTTTTCTTCCTGTCGTACCAGCTGCAGCTGCAATCTGCTTATTCTGTACCTTGCTCGACTGTGCATTGAGTCCCTTATAGGCAGATAAAGTGTGTTTGCAAAAAAAAAAAAAAAAAAAAAAAAAAAGTGCTGCTGGGTTAACATGTTTAATTTGGCTCAAAGGGGCAAGGGAAGAATTGGGACAGCAGAGCTAGGACAGAAAAGGAGTGAGACTCCTCCAGTTCCTGATCCCTTTGATACTTCTGAACCATTGGACTGTCTTAGTGATTTGTGCAGTTCACCAACCTGTTCTTCCATCTAGGCCTTGTAAGACTCCTTAAAACTCCTTTACTCTGATTTCACTACTTTAAAAAAGTTGTAGTTAAGCTGTTGCTCATACCAGCTGGTTGAATTTCTTTTTAAAGGGCACTTAGCCAGTCTCTCAGAATCCAAATGTTCAGGATGGTGGCAGATTACGAAGAGGGAGATGCAGAGGCTGGCAGACATAAAATAGCCAAGCGCTGGGAAAGGGTGGAGACCTACATTAATGAATGCTTACATGGTGTGGCTGAGAGGGTGGCCAAAGAGCTTTTAGAACTGAGAGCTGCAAAGGAGAAAATAATACCTAGATTTGAAAAATCCTCAGACTCTGAAGTCAGATTTTGTGAGTTGTTCAGAAGACGTGACTAGAAATAATATGAATGTTTATAGTGAGCAAGCAACTGAACTGTTTTCCTGCTTATGTAAGTGGCAAGGAGGATCACAGATCTGATGGAGTTTTCCTCATATTTAAAAATGGTTTCAAGGCTACAGAAGTAAACATGAACTATATTCCAAAGTAACTGGGTTTTGTGCCAAAATTCTGCCAGTCTTTCTCCCTGCTTTTCTCTCTATTTGCAAAAGTTATAGAGCAAAGCTTTCTGCTGATCATCTGTGCACCATATCCTTTGGTTTTCTGTACTTAACAGCTTTGAAGAGATCAATCAGGACTAAACATACAAAACAGGATTTTGGATATAAAGGATACAAAGCCAGGTGACAAACCACAAGACTGTGACCTCTAAGGCTTCTGATCCCATATAAAATTAGCTTAAGTGGACACATGCTAGTAATCCACATGCTGGAAAATTATTCTTATAATAGTTGCAGTCAGTTGTCTGTCTGGCACAATCCCAAAGCTAAAACAGTTTAAGTAGACTAGCACTTTGTCTCAAAATCCTAAGGTCAACACATGGCTGAAGGGCTTAGGAGTGACAGTCAAATACTCAAATATAATCTCATAAACTGGATTTTTTTTCCATTTGGAACTACAAGAGAGATTCACTGTGATCTAACAAAATGGTGTTTGAGAGAGAGCAGACATCCATGAGGAATGAGTTTCTCATCAAGGACTAAAGCTCCCTCTCCTATGGACAGAGAAATGGTTGTGGATGGGGAAATACACAGTGGTGCTTAGGTCTGTTTGAGATCTTCCCAGGGTGGTTTTGTGTGTTTTGATAAGAGTGCCATAGTGTCAAGGACTGGGGTATTTTGGCTCACAAAAATGTTTTGCCTTCTGTTGGATTGAATTCCAACCCTGCATATAACAAAATTGTTTCAAATGCATCTGTAATGTTACCATTTTAGCTCTCTTTTGCTATTTCATCTCTTTTTCCCTAGGCAAAATGAGACTAGGGAGTTTTCTGTGTGTTGCACAGATGTTTTAATTTTTCATTTTCTACAGTATTACATCACTTTTTTTTTCTTAAGATCTGCACCAGTCCTGTTAGCCTCAAAATAGACAAATCTAAAACTGTTCACTTTAGCTTTGAAAAATATAGAAGAATGTATTTTGTTGAACTAGTTGTGTCATTCTGTACAACATGCAAGTTTTTTGACCTTTAAACACAACTGATCTGAAAGCAATGTGAAATTAAAAATCACATTTTCAAACAATTCCATCAGCTCCTCCTGTTTTTTTTAGGGGCTGACTCATGTAAGGACACTGCAAGTCATAGTGCAAGTGCTTTAATTCCATAAAGGTTTGTTTCTAATTTAGAAATTTTTCCTTAACTTTTGATTTGGGGAGCAGAGGTTCCTGGGCTACCAGGATCATTGCAGCCCATTCACCACGTGGGTGGGTGAAGAGAGCCTAGTTCCACATTAAGGTCTTGTAGGTCAGGAATGTTTGGATCAGGCTGCCTGATGGGGAGGAAAAAACAAAACTGGAATTAGGACTGAGAGAAAGCTTAACTTTTTTCCTTTGCCCTTTTGTTACTGCAATTACACTTCTGGCAGTCTCCTGTCACAGTCTGATGTCCCGAATGTGGAAAGGGTCACTGAACCCTAAGGCTTGCTGAGCAGGGATCTCTGGATGCTGACCTGTTGCCATTGCCAAAGCCATGAGCTGAGCTGTGCCAGTGCAGCTGGGACATAACCACCAGTGGTGCAGGTGAGTTTGTCAGGCCTCTGGTATTTAAACCATTGGTGTTACACCGAGCCATGGCTGCTCCCCAAAGATAGACAGCTGCCTCTGGTTTGCTGTCTGCCATTTTCCTCCCACAAGAATGCAGTAGTCTCTCCTGTTGCTCAGGAGTGGGTAAACACCACAAGCAAAAGATGCAAAGCCCATTTGTAATGTTGCTGAATAAATTCTGAGTCTCGCAGGTAATTTGCTGGCTGCTGGGAGTGGCGGCAGGAGTAGCAGTGCATTATTACATGTTTGGATTAAATAAACCCTGGTGGCTTCCCAAGTGCAAGTGCTGATGCTCTTGATATAAAGGCAAGCTAGTAATTAGAGAATGCTGTTCTTGTCTTCACAAGGCTTCCTGTCTTGGGCCTTGTGATGTTTAGACTATATTGCTGCAAAGGACCTAATCTAACTAGTTCATCCCTGGGATCATACTAAACTTTACAGGGGAGCTGGCTTTCCTCCACCCAGCCTTGTTCACTTCAAATTTGTATTCTCTCTTTTCTTCTAAATATATAAAGCTTTTTTGGCATGTGTATTTTTGTGGCCAGCAACTGCTCTGCCAGCCCTAAAAAAAAGCTGGTATGGAGTTTGCAATTAGTGCTGAGATTTTAGATCTTGGTTTATTTGGAGAGCCAAGAGCTGAATGGTCCCACCCAGGAGGCAAAGCTCTTGAAGGAGAGCTCCATGGGAATTGCTGTCCCACTGAATCCAAGCAGCAATCTGCACCTGCAGTTCATCTCTCTGTATGTTGCTGAGTGTTGCTAAGTGCCATTCTTTTCTTAACAATTGGGGACTGTGCTAAAAAGAACAAAGATGTTAATGGTCTGGGGTGAAGTCACCCCAGCCTGCCCTTTGCCATGTAACCATTCCAATAGTCTGATGATGGTTGGCTGCCAAAGTGCACACTGCTGCCCTTCTTTGAGCTGTGATGCAGAGCTGGTTTGCATTGTAGCTGAGGTTGAAATATGACTCTGAACTTTACAGGCTGCTGGACTTGCTCAAGTTAAATGCAGATTTATGTAGTCTCTGATGATGTATAGCACTGAGCATCCTCATAGTGCAGCTTGTCAGTGTAGCACAGCGTTTTGCAGTAGTAGTGAGATCATCTCTGGATGTGCTAAACCTGTTTCTGCTCACTCTGTAACACATCTTTATCTCAGTACCATGCTGGGTTAACCACACTGATTAACCATTCCTAATTCTTGACTAAGCTTGACTGGTGGCAGGTTGGGAATTTTCACCCTGTGTCTGTGGCTCATCATTAAATCAGCTCCAGCTTTTTTTCCCGAGCATTCTGGTAATTACCACTGTTCATTACAGAAGGATGGGGCAATTGACCAAAGGTATGCAGGGATACTGTGTCAAAGGTTAGTTAGTATCTGATCTTCTGGGTCCTCAAATAATGACTTCATCATCAAACAGTCCTACTGGCAAATCTGGGTAGTGGGGGAATGCATACACCTCCCTTTTCCCTTCCTGGCAATTGCTTTAAAGAGTCAGGCACCGTGTTTGGCATTTAGACATATCTTTTGTGAAATTTAAAAAGAGAAAATGTGTGTTCATTATTATACACTGTGTACAATTACAATTCTGCCTGTAAGGCTAGTTTAGCTAAAGTATCTGCCACGTGGATGTTGCCAAATAAATGTATTTTGCTTTTCTGAACACCTGCTTCTTTGCTGTTATGCATCTTTATTTTTGCTTTAGATGCATGACTTATGTGGGAAAAAGTAACTCATGATGAGCAGCTGAGCAACACTTAAGGAGATACAGCAGGAGTCAGTAATCACCTGAGGGAAGTGCTAGTTTTCAGAAAAATAAAGGCAGAAGTGAAAGATCAAAGTCTCTGAGTGAATTCCTTGTTTGAGGCAGTGGGAAGGTGTTACATGCAAGCCTGTGGATCATACAAGATGTTAGCTTACTGCTTCACAGAAACAGACAGTTTTTACACATTGGCATGAAGGTATCTGTGATGATGCTGTGCCGTGGCAATGCAGTGTGTTTATATCTGCCCATTTTAATACAGACAACAGTGATATAATGCAGTTTTTCTTGGAATTAGGCATATGGGCTAAAATACTGTAGCCAGTATTATGGCTTTAAACTATGTGAAAGGATAGGGGCTGGAGGCAGTATAAAAATAAGCAAAAAAAGCAAAAATATGGGTCATAAATGCCATTTGACTCTGTACCACTGTCCAAGTTCCTGATTCAGTCTTGGTGCTGCTTGTTTTAACCCATGTGGTGGGAATCCAAAGATAAAAAGCATCCATGACCAGACAAGATGTGACTGTCATTCTCTAAGGGGATAAATTGCCATGGCAATCCTGGCTGTTGCTGTTGGGGAGATGGCTGATTTTGGCCAGCTGCTGGGTAGCTGGAGATGGTGAATCCCCTTGGGGATGAGGTGCCTTTTAGATAATTAGACAAGCATGCAAACTGTCTCAAAACAAAGGCCATTAAATGATTTCTTCCTGGTGCTTGAGATGAAGTAATGGCTCTTGTAAAAGTGAATGTCTGAGAGGCACCACCAGTTTCTGAAGGATAGCAAATACCAAATGCAATTGGAGCCTCAATTTCCCCCCCCCCCCCCCCATGTCAAGGGGAAAGAATGCAAGGTTTGACAGCAAGAGAAAGAGAAGGTTGGTTGTCTGCTATAGGAATAGTATTTATAGAATCCCAGAATAGTTTTGGTTGGAAGGGTCTGTAAAAGGTCTTGCAGTCAACCCCTCCCTGCTATGGGCAGAGATAATTTCAGCTAGATCAGGTTGCTCAGAGCCTCACCCAGCCAATAAACAGTACTTGATCTTTGTGCTCATGATGAGGATGAGGTTGGAGCACTCAGCTGTCACCCAGTGCAGGTGCTCCTGCCAGCACAAGGAAAGTGGCTGAGCAGGGAAGACAGCAACTGGTCTGCCCCTTTCACTGAAGTCTGCTTAAAGCAGTGATGAAATGGGAATCTGGGGCAGTGAGTTCCACCTTAGTTAAGCCTGTCTGCCGCTGGTCCCTTGCGTTTGCTGGTGGAAATACGCCCTTACCCACCTGCTTGCAGTAGGGGTCAGATGAGAGCTGCTACTGTGGTGCCTTGAGAATCCATAGCTAGGTGTAAGGATGAGAAGGAGAAGCACGACTCCCCTTTCCAGCATCGCCTCCCCATTGTTTCAGCGTAGCTGTAGCAGGAAAACTGCCCCTGAAGGGCTGGGGAAGTACCGGAGTACAGCTGGCTGTGATACCAAAGCATGTGTTCTGTGGGACCAGCGCCAATCCTGCTCCTTTTCCCCAGCTGCAGTTAGTGTAAAAGCTGGTTTCAGGTTGCTTGCCTAGCTCTAGATTGGCATCAAATAGCTCAGCTTTGCAAACCCTATTTGCTGTTCATGATGTTATTATCAGACCCAATTGTTATTCTGCAAGATACTAAGGTAACCTATGGAAATATATCCTAATTTCTCCCTTCCTCACCACAGAAGCACCCTGTGAGGGTAGCTGTCATTATTTCTGGCTTTAATACCATGCTAAGAAGAGAAGTAACTCCTGGAAAAATGCAGAATATATTCATTCTGTTTCCATTGTTTTCACTCTGCTCTCTGGCCATTACAGATCATCGTCAGGGACGTGGGGCTGGCGGTGGGCATCAGCAGGAGCAGGAACCACTTCATCCAAGTATCTCCCACAGCTGTGAGAGCTGCAGAAGGGCATTGTGTAGCTCTTGTTTCCTTCCAGAGTGGAGTCCCTGTTCTGTGTGAATTATGAGCACAATTGTCAATGCTCTGAGCACCGGCAAGGGAAGCTGCTGATAAATGAGGTGCAGTAGCAGCAGCTGCAAAATCGCTGTCCTGCTGGCTGGGGAAAGGCAAAGTCATCAGAGAATTAAGATGAACTGCTAAGCATATTTTGCACTCAGAAGGCAATTCCATAGGAATTAAAAGGAAAACACTGCCATACAGAAGTTTTTCTAACTTCTGCTGGAGCTACAGCTGTTGTTCTTCAGGCCTAGTATGCTTCACGCAATGAACTGCCCCCACACAGTTTCTTCAAATAGGATCAGAAGGGTCAGCTGGAAAAATCTATAAAGAGGTGGAACAATTCAAAGAAGAATGCAGAGGCATAGAGCAATGACTGCTTGGAAATCAAGGTCAGATAGTGCCTTAATAGCTGAGTACACCCAAGAGTTCAGGCATCTTAAATCAGACCCTAATGATCGTGACTGGGTAGAAGACAAGAAGCTACATGTCTTTTTAAAGTGCTGTCTTATGCATGGAAATGTGGCTGTGTGCCACCAACAGAGAGCAAGAAAATGCTGTCTTCCTCTTTCAAAGATTTTTTTGTTCTCATGAGATTGAGATTTTATACTAACCATCCTATAAGAAAAGAAGTCAGTAGGGAACACTAAAGTAGTAGAAACCACTTGAGCTGTGCTGTGTTTGGAACATTGGATTGCTACTGGTATTTGGTCATCTTGTTGATGTAGAAAAAAAATATATTAATGATATCAACCTCTAATTTGTTTTTCAAACTTCTACTTCAGTGTGACTTGTTCTAAGTTATTTTGGTCACATTTCTACAGTTGAAGACTTGTGACTGTTTATACCTTTTGCACTGTATTGTTTCAGTTATATGTGAGGTGTATAATTTAGTTTCTGTGATTTACTTTGCAGCTAGCTTCCCTCACTCAAGCAAACTGGAAGCTACAAAAATTGTGCCTTTTAACCAGCACAAGGAATAGAGCAGCCTTCTGCCTTTCACTTCTGCTGGCACCCAATGCTTTCTGGTGCAGTAGAAATTAAATTTAAAATTACCTGTAGACCAGCTACACAGATGAACTTTGAAACACTACAACTCTGAAGTAAAAGCATTTTTTTACCATAGGTCTGACACTGTGCCATCCTCAGAAATGGTATAAAGTGCCTTACAGAAGTCTGTTTTGCTGAGCAGCTGACTTCTATCTGCTCAACATAAAGTAGATTAAAATAGAGCTTTAAGACTAATTCTCTATGTGTTTCTCACTTGAGGTCATGAGCAGAATGTGAACCCTCAAGCTGTGAAATCAAGAGATGGGTCTCTTCTAAACCAGCTCTTCCGAGGAGCCAGCCACAGCCTCTGTCAGGTAGGATACGGTTTTCTCCCGTGAGTTGTGCTGGTGTCTGCAGGGCTGCAGCAGAGCTCTAGGTTTAGGCTTGGCCTTTCTGCCTCAGATCTAATACTTGGCCTACAGCATTTTCTCTTCCTCCAGATAAATCCCCCTTGCTTGCTCTCAGCACACAGAAAGGCAGCCCAAGTACAGGTCAGCGAGTGCTGGCTGCCAGGGACACGTGAGCAGAGCAAAGATTTACTCCTTTAACTTGACAAGTCTAGGCTCTTTCACCATCTCTGTCTGCCCAGGGATTGTGAAACCTCTTAGCACACTGCAAAATGCCTCAACCACAATAATTTCTCTTCCCCAAAGGTATAATAAGGTGAAAAGCTGGCCCCTCAGCCAGTGGTTCAGCACAGCCTCCGTGAGGCTACAGGGCAGAGTACGTGGCTGATTCATTTCTCTTTCACAAGACTGCCCGTGCTGTGGTACAAAATGGTGTTATTCCCAGGGGCTGCGCTCGCTGAGGTTAAATATGTGCTTTCCTTTATCAAACTGTTTTCTGCAATTTCTGCACATTTCACAAGAGGGTTGAGTTACTGGTGAGTAAAATTTGCAACCAGAAATCTCAGGCCCTTTAGAAAACCAAAGAAGAGTTGGAAGGAATTACATGCGTTTCAAAAATTAATTTTTAGGCGTTCTGACATGCAAGTGTAACCAATGATGATGACATTGACTCTTTTTTTAAAATAAACTCTTTGCAGCTGAAAAATGTGATCATTCCTACAAAACTAGAAAGCTTAACCTGCAGAAAAGCTTAACCTGTAGCCAGCAGTTTGGCTGTTCCATAAACTCCCTTAGGATAACAGGCTGTATTTGTGCTGCCTTACTCAGTGACAAATGTGCTTGGTGCCACAGTGGTGTCACAAGCCCAAGCCAATGGTGCTTATGGCTTCCAGCTGGGTTGCTGAGTGCTGGGAATATCACAAGCCAAGCAGATCCTGGGTTTGGTGAAAGCATTGTCCAAAAACTACCTCATTTCTAATGCCTCCTGTCCCAAATCCATGATTAGTCAGGAAAATGTTGACCTTGTCTGCTGTACCTCAAGCACAGCAGCCTTCTGGTCATTTTTCTGAGCTGACTGCTGCAGTTGGCTCACCTCAGGTAGACATTCTTTAGGGACTCAAATAATAGTTGACGTTCACTATTGAAGTTGAAATCTGCATTACTGGAGAAGGTCTGATGTGACACTGGCTAGGAGATAGGGGCCAAATTCAGGAAGAATTCTTGTTCTGATGAGAGGAGAAACCCCAGGGAGATGTTAAATCACTGTAGATGGAGTGATACTAATGGTGAAGTTTTTTATCCTTTGTGTTAACAGTGACATGTCGTGCTGTGCAAAGTGCTCTGATCAAGTTACTCTGTTGTCTCACTGGCCAGAATCCTTGCTTTGCTCACCCTCCTCTGTCTATGGTATTTTTTCCCTCATGATCATTTTGGCATATCTGATATTACACGACCAGCTTTCCCAGGCAGGTTCCTGGCCATGCTTGTCAAGTTTTTGGAAGGCCACAAACAGATTAGTTACCTCTTTCCATTTGCCCTCTCAGAGTGAAACTGCTGAGACAAGATCTTTCAGGAATGTAAATGACTCCCTTTGTCTATGCTACAAATGAAGGAACACAGATAAATGTCACCCATGGGAGGTTCCTTTGGAGACTTTTCATGTCCAACCCTATTGCTTTGGTTCTCGTATTCCAAGCCAACCATGTTTTCATACCTGAATTAGGAAATTATGGATTTAACTGATGAATACATGCATATATTTTCAACAAATCACGTGTGTTAGAGGTATGTCTACAGTGCAAGGTTTGGGGGTCACTGGAGTGCTTCTTCCTGGTCTGGGAGGCAGCAGAAGACTGACAGTAAAACCTTGTTTTTCAGGCTGCTTGATGTGAAGAGGGCAGCGTGCCCTGTGACCTGGCTGTGACAGGGTGTGCGGGGGAGCAGAGCTCAGCGTGTGTGTTTGCATGCACAAGTTTTCAAGAATTCTGGCTCTTCCCTTAGGGAGAATGCTCTTTGCTCACCCTTTTCACCTCAGAGGGTATAATTACCAATGTTTGTGGGTTTTTTTCATTTGAAGCAGGTAATATGCAAACCATGGTAGCAAATCCAGGCTGCAGTTTCAGAAAAGTTTGCTTGAATTTAATGTTGATGAAAATCTGATGTTCCAAATTCGAGTGAATGCATCATGTGTCAGGCTTTCAGCAGCATTAAGTTGCCAATACCTATAATAAAATCCTTATCCATCTGGCTATCCTTAGCCATAAAAAACAACAGAAAAATCTCAGCTACCATCCAACTCTAAACCTGTTTTCTTACTGAACCAATCTGGTTGTATCATATGCCATTTAAAAGCTCATATCAGTATCAGAGATATAATCACTGCTTTTGTTTGAATATTTTGCCACTTAGTGCAGTGCTTTTCTCTCAAAATTTGCCTTGAGAAAGAGAGCATCTATTATGATTTTTTCCCAAGTTGCATGGATAATTGATGTTTAAGATGTTCATAAGAAAAAAAAAAAAAAAAAAAAAAAAAAAAATAAATAAAAAAAAAAAAAAAAAAAAAAAAAAAAAAGGCCCATGTGTAACTGATAGGACAAAGATTTTAAGATTTTATATCCACAGAGCAGTTATTTTGTAAGGGGACCAGATTTTCTAGGTTGTCAACTCTGTTGATTATTTGCATTTCTCTTGTACTTTGCCCAGCACTCAAATCTGATTGTCTTTTAATGCTGCTACAGTAGAGATGTTTTTTTACATTGAAAACAAAATTAAATTAAAAATAAGGTTTGAGAAAGCAGCATTTAAAGGCAGAATATGAGGGGAATGAGAAAAGATCTTTTTCCTTGTTGGGTTTTGTAGCTGTTAGCTACACAGAAGAGGCATGTTGAAGCTCAAAAGATGTCTCTTCATTGCCAAATTCTGAAGCAAAGTGTGAGAGAGGATTGGTTAAAAACCTCTTCAGTTCTCACTTCTACCTCTCCAGCTTCTGCCTTGCAGCCTTTTTCTCCAGCCTCTGCTCCTGCTTTTGGATTTGGGCTTTTCTAATCTCATCTTTTTCCATGATGGTCACCTTCACTCAGTATTGTTTTCACACCTTCTTATCCTTAGATCTGTTCTGTCTTTTGCCTGTTCAAAGGATGTGGAGTACATGCAGAACTGGACATATTCACTGAACTTAGATGACAAATTGTTATAGATTGCTTCTGAGAATGATGAACCACTTGATGTCCCAAGGTGTAGGGCTTGGTCAGGTGGAAACTCCAAAAGTACAACCTCCTCATGATGGAACACTTGAGGAATTTCAGGTGTCCTTTATGGAGTTACTAGGTGTGACAGTGAGCAAAACCCCTTCCTTCTACTTGTTTTTTGTAATACAGAGAAGGAAGCATACTTTTACATGCCCCAGTTACAGAGATAAAAATGATCCATTAAAGGTGAATCTTTTAAAAATGAGACTGCCTATGCATCAAATTGAATTGAGTGGTTTCTTTGAAAAACACATACATTTTTAAAAAAATAATAGTTCCTTAAAAATCATAATTACAGCTGCTTCTTAGTAGTAATATTGAAATACAGAAACCTGGCTTCTTTTGAATATCATGCCAGACAAGAAAAAGAGAAGAATTAATATCACAGGCAGTACTATATTTCTCCCCATTTACCTGGACTGATGAGAATTCATTTTTTTGCTTAGACAACATTTTAAAAAGACAAAAAAAATCAGCCAATACAATCAGCAAAATTCTTCCCCTTCATTAACTAAGTGCCCAAGAGACAAATAGACAAAAAGGTATCTGCCTGTATTCAAGGGGAGGTTGCAGATTAAATGATGCAATAAATTTACCCCTGGGCTAAAAGCAAATTTTCTTCTAGCATAGAAGTCACCTTTCAGATGCATTGGAATCTTTACAGAATGCAGGTTAAAGTGATGGGGAATAGCTCTTTAGAGCTATGAGCGAGATCATGCAGAAGTGGTCTGTATCTATGGTGATCTCTCTGTCACTGGAAACAGGCTGTAGGGACTGCAGTCTTTCAGGTGGGGAAGAGAAACTCTCTGAAATGCTGGGTTGTCTTTAAGTATTTGAAGTTCAGTATGAATTAACTGGCTTCCAACGACATGCCATGGAATGTTGTGCACAATTAGGTAAACTGCTAAAAGTCATAATTGCCATGATTATTGGTTTTCCCGAGGAGACTGCTAACAGTACATTTCCCATATGTTATCCACTTTATGGGACTGTATGTTATTTCACATGTGCCTCATTTTAAATATTTAGTACTATGTATTTTTAATTTATAGCCAAATATTTCAGCATCTGAAAAGGTAGGTAAATACTGTTTGCTTCATTTTTGTAGCCAAGGCAGCTAGGGAATGGAGGAGTCAAAGGTTTGTTATATGATATATTGGCATTTAAGCAAATGACTAGCAGTCTCCTCAAAACTGAAAGCATGACCTTTTGTGAAATGGCACTCTTTTATTGAACAAATGTGTTTTTAATGTATTCTGTTTTAGCTACTTGCTGTTGTGATTATACGAAATCGAACTGCCTTTTGCAACAGCGAAAACTACAGTGAGAACAAAGGGACTGACCTGGTTTTGACTCTTTATTCTCTCCTGCAAATCTGCAAATGCATTTGGTGTAGCCTGTGCATATCAATTGCTGCAAATATTAACTCTCAACTTCTACAGTTTTGCTATGGGGCAACCTCTAAGTCATGAGTTAGTGATGGGAGAAATGAGAGAAACTTGAGCTGCAATGTTTTTAATGATTTTTTTTTTTTTTAAATAGAAGCATTCAGTTAAGCCAAGTAAATCCCTACTCATTTACTTGTAATTTTAACTCAAATGACAAACCAGCAGTATCTGAGAACAGGTTGTGTGGGTTCCTTGCAAAACCCCTTCATGAGAGAGACAACATCCTCTTTCCCTCAGCTGAAGGCTGAGAAAACAGCAGGTCAAATTCCTG